CATAAATTGTACGATATGGGTGACAGGAGGACATAATTTACCTGCAGAAAAAAAAAGACAGCGGACATTGTTAGCATATCATGTCATAAGCTTTATTTCTACTGAGACAAACCCACAAAAGCATCTTAAAAAACTCACATGTTTTTTTCTGGATTCTTGTGGAAAATATGTTTCATAAATGCTGCATGCAATAGACAAGACGCTTGACTGAGATTTACTTTAAAAACAACTGCGCCGAAATACATTTTATTCAGTTATACAAAGTAAACAGAAGGCTTCAATTTAGGATTCTAGTTTATTTATTAAATCATCTCAGAAAAACACTGCATAACTGTTTTTAATGATGAAATTCAGCCATATATTTTAATGCATGTGTTTAATTTAGACAAAAAATACAAGACTTCAAAATGTAGAACCGCTCTAAATGCACAGGTGCCACCTCTAGTAGTAATGGGAAGTGGCAGTTGACTTCACAAACAGCCTGTTGTAACTCCGAGAACCCAAAACCCTCTCCTCTCTGGCTGGGGAAGCTAATGTGCATATGTGAATAACAAGCAAACATAACTGGGTTTCAGCGTTGCCCTCTGCCGGGACACATTCCTCGCCGGTCCTGCTGTAGCCTTGTCATACCAAACAACATGTAAAAATGCGACCCATATGGTCTCCCTTCTCAAGAGGGACTGATTGAGCTGTATGGAAGTCATAGCCCACCCACAGAATACAAATAAGGAGAACCATATGTGGGGAGATGAATTAGGTAAACTGCACAACATTTTTATTAGATACAATTTCACTTGCCTTGTGGATGGACTGCAAGGTGACACTTTGAAAATAAACTTTAAGCCTTAGAAAGAAAAAGACCTCTGAGGCTAAATCGATAAAACACAGGCTAAGTTAACCAAATGAACAATAACTATTATGGTTTGTACTTGTTTTAGAATGACCAGTACATGATAAACATAAGCATCATGTCAGTCATCTAACCTGCCTGCATTAACATTGACTGTACCACTAATTGAGCACATTAATGACAGTCACAATATAACTTTTAACTGGATGTGCTTTACAATAATATTAAACTCCATTAAGACTGTGAACAAATGTTTAGTTTCACAGTGTATGAGTATATTTGTGTAAAACCCAAATTTTCCTTCATGGACCGCATTTGATATTTATTTCATACACAAATGTTCCCATTCAGAACACTTGTTTACAAAATCAATAACTACTCAAAATACACTATAAATAAATCATTATGGGAAGTGTTCTACAAGGCCGGGAAGCCTTAAAGAGGTTTAGAAGCATTTGCAGAGGAAAATATGCATAGTTTAAAATAAGAAGTAGAGTTTTTATTCTTGTTGCTCATACATAATAAGGAAAAGATACTTTCCCCTCTCAGTATATCCAGATCAGTTTTGTTGCATGCTTTCACAAACTCAGAAACTGTTGCCAATTATCTTGAGTTGCTTTGAATCTTTGAAGTTTATGGACTATTTAACATGGGTGACTGAAGCATCACTTGACTAAAAGTGGGCTTTAATCATTATTGGAAAAACAAAACATTTCAGCCTCTGTGAATTAGTCTGAGAATATTTTGAGGATGTCTAAAGCACGAAACCCTCTGACAGCAGGGGTGGGTGGTAACGCACATAAGTACATATGTGCTTTTTTAAGGGGACAAATACTCTTCATGATGCTTTTTTTTAATGTACTTCTACTCTTTACTTGAGTATATTTTTGAGCCAACAATATAGTTTTTACTGCACTACATTTGCTATTTGCACCTTCGCTACAACTAGACTGTGCAAGCAGCTCCTCTTCTACCCTCCAACAGCACGTTAAAGTAAGTTGCACATACTGTAGGTGCAACTGTAGTTAGCTAGCTAAAATTAGCTTTGCTAATGTTTCATTTGTAATGTTAATCTTTGATGTTATGCTGAGAAAGAAAGGGGTAGAGAGGAAGAGATGGAGGTAGAGTGGAAGACTGCTCAGAAAAGGTTTATCAAGTGCTGTTTTTTCCCTTTTTTTTCCACAAAGTAAAGTAATTTGTTCTTTGAGTGATTTATTACAATACTACTACTACTACTACTACTACTACTATTCAATACTCTGCCCACCGCTGTCTGTCAGTGGTATGACATGATCACCTCTGTGTTTTTGTTTTGCAGTATTTCCCGCTCGTGATGGTTCAGATTAGGTTTTTTAAAAAGACCTGAATCATCAAGCATTTGCACCTCTTGACAGCCAGCCAGCCCCAGCCTGCTGAGAGCCTCAAGATGATCTCACCTCACTAAATATATCACATTTACTGAACAAAAGAACATGTTCTTAACAGCCGCTCACATGGACTTGTCTGTTTTCTCAATCAGGTTAGGAGAATAAACATGTTTGTGGTGGAAAAAAAATCTTAATATCAGCACCTGGAACAACATGCTGACATTATGTAACTGTGTTTAGGTGAAGCCAACAGTATGTTGTGACATACACTATAAACCTGAGAGTGTGATGCATGAATAATTCACAAGAAACCCTTGATGAAAAGTAAACTGTGATGGGTTGTGACCTTTTTCGAGTATGTTTCAGAAGTGGAAGTGCTGATCTGATAAATTGCAAGGCACCTCTGACTCACTGCAGCCTGTTTTTTGACCACGGGGGTCTCAAGAGGAGAAGGGGCCACTGTATTAATCTGCCTTTGGTACGGCAATTGTTGCCCTTCCCTTTCATGTGGTCGTGAGGTTGCTGTCGAGAGGGTCGTGTAGTTTTGGAGCACTTAAATAGGAGCTCATTCATAGCAGCTCCTGCGTTACAGAAAAGGAAGAAATGTAGCTGAATTGGAAAGAATCCATGATATTAAACAGTAGATGGGATTGTGAAGTGCTAGGAGTAATCATGCCAGGCAACAGGCCGCAGGAATGCAAATCACCCCTCAAGCCAAGAGTTAAGTTAGCAGGTGGCCTTCTCTATTCACTGAATGTCAACACTCCTTTTAGATGGAGCCCACATAACATCTGGGCAGGCCGGCAGCCACTGCTTTTAATTAAGTGAAATACAGTCACTCAATGTTCTGCCATGTCAGAGAAAAAAAATGTTATAGAAGTGGGAGGGTAGGGGGGGAGAAAAAGTGCAACAGTACATATCCTGTGTTCAGTGAAGGTCAACACAGTTGTGTAAATAAATATTAATCCTTAACCTAATCCCTAGATTTCCAAGACCATTGAAAATCCCTGCGTAACCAGAGGACTTTTCTGGAAATAGCACGTTTGCTCGCAGTTTTCTGGAAAGTCTGCTCGTCCTGAATGAGGAGTAAATGCAGCAACACTCCCTCAGTTTAGTTTATGATCTCTACTTTGTGTCTGGGGGTGAATCTCAGCTCTGAGTGGATGGCAACATCCAAAATATGAGAATGCAAGCAAGCAGAGGTGTGCCATACACATAACATAAATCATGTGATGGATGGTATCTTTCCCCATAATCAGGAAGGGATTGCTTACCAAATGATATACCGTTCTCTGCTGGCAGCCTTATGATAATCACCCTTTTGGGCTGTTTTTGGAGGACACGGCACTGCTTTACTGCTAGCACTGTACCACTAGCATTACCACTCCCCAAGAGCATGTCAACAGGCTCCGTGGGTGGACCCCTAGTTTATATCATACTTGTCAAACATTTATAAAACTGAGACGGTAGTCCGGCAACAGTGTGTAAAACATCCGCAGAGCTCCAAACAGAAACACAAAAGGAGAACTTCAATTTGAAAAGGCTGCAGCTGGAGGAGGGGGAAAAAGCTCCAAGATAAAATGCATTTCTGCTTATAGTTTAGGGTAATAAATGGAGCAAGACAAGCTATAAGGCCAAGTAAAGGCAAAGCAGAAGATAAGAGTTTTCAAGTGGTACATTTATTAAAATACACAACACTCTACATTAAGATATACTTTCCCCAAACATAAGAATTTCTGCGGTGCAAAGCTAGTCCACAGAGGAATGAGACGACAGTGTTTATGGAGGAGAGTTACATAAACATTGTTTTAAAAATGACAAGATTTGCAAAGCATTCATAAGCAAACACTCAGTATTATAAGAGCTTCATTCCAGACTGACATAATCCCCTTCTGTGAACACACTCTTATACATAAAAAAAAAAAAAAGCTGGCTTGGAAAAGGTGAAACAGTATCAGTGCTGAAAAGCAGTGGCAGCTTGAAAATAGCTTTGGGCAGTTTTGTTCACATCAGAGAACACTCACTTTTTTTTTTCCACTGATCCAATTTGATTTATTCCAACAGCCTGTTGAAGTTGTGACATTAGTGCTAATAGCATGATCTCGTCAGTGGCGCCCCCGGAATTTTTTCATAGTGGTGGCCAGATGAGGCCACTGAAAATCATCAGAAGTCATAAGTGAAATTCAGGTATCCACTCATGTTGTTGAACTATATATGCTAGTTGAAAACTATGTTGATATGGAGAGTTAATGTTACTAATTGTCTGATGCGCTTCGGCTAATACCAGTAGTCTATAGTTAACATTTTAAGTTCCACAATAATCCTGTTTCAATGTGTTACGAATCTGTATGCATGTTACGTGATTCACTGTTCTTCAAATAGGCTGGTTGTCCTTTTCATATAAAAGACAAAAGTACAGCTTCAATTCGAAGGAGTACATTGAACAAAATATTTACTGGAAACAAACATTCTCAAGTTTAGAAGAGACCCCTGGGTACCCACAGAACCGATTTTTTTTCAGGTATCTTGAGGTGAAACTACGAGAGACAAAAATATGCCAGTTGTTCCCTTGCCAAAATTTAGCCTCACTTTGGAGCATTATTTAGCTCCCTTACTGACAAGCAATGCCAATATGGGTTGTACCAATGGATGCTTTAGGTTCACAAGATAACCCTACCTTTGCACAATAGCTTAAAAAATGAGTGTGCCACAGCCTCTTGAACACAGTAACTTTGGTCTTATTTTTGCTAGAGGGTTAATTGGGGGGGCGGGGGGGTGGGGGGGGGGCAGCAAATACTTAAAGGGGCCATGGCCCCCCTCAGCCACCCTTGAGGGCACCACTGCACCCTGCTGTCTCCCTTTTTATCAGATTTAGCTGTCATGCTGCATTTTGGAACATTTCTCTGTATGTATCTGTCTTTTATAATCGTTGGTCCATAATAGAGACAAACTAATAGACAAAGGCTCAGTGAACATTTATAGCACAAACGCATTGTAAAAGGGGAAAAACCAGCAGAAGGGGAAGCGATCTTATGTATCAAGATGACTCCAGTGAATAGTTAACTCATAAAAGTTATACGGATGTAACTAAGAGGGAGTATATGCCAACGGACACAAAAGTTAACTGATAACTGACGTAAGGTAAAATCAACATTTTGTCCTAATCATTTAAATATCACAATATTCAGTGCTATTTTTTTTAAAAAAAGAAAATAAATTAGATAATAAAACTTTATATACATAATACTGTACATCACATCACACCTGCAGCAGATGTGTTTTCCAGCGATTCCCTTACCAGATAGCATAAATTAAAGTTAGCCCAGTCACTAATGGCAACCACAAGACCTAACTACCATATTTCTATATTTCTTGAGGATGACGTTCGAGCTGTCATCAAAGTAAAGCACTGATATTGCGTTGAGCTTGGTCGGGGCACAGCATGGCTTTGGCACGTTGTCAGGAAACATTAAATGGACCTATAAATGAGAGCATGAAGTCAGTTTAAAAGAGGTGCAACAGCAGTGTGTTTCAAATGAATTATAACTGCTAAGAACATTATGGTAGCTCATAACACATTTTTTATTGCAATACACACATCCAACACTCTGAAGAACACTTACCAGGGTTTGCACAATCGCATGATTTGTTGCATTCATGTGCGCGTTGAGTGGAAAAGAGCATTCACCATCACAGTAAAAAGCAGCATAGCCCTCAGGTGCAATGATCCAATCCTTGAGGAAAAAAAATAGCTCTCTTTATTTATGAAACCTTGTAATATGTTGCTCATTGTGATACCACCATTTGTTGGTGTTTTAAATGTTTTGTGATGCAGAATAATGTTGCCTTACCTGCCAGCCTAAGTCTCGAAAACTGACATAGAGTTCATGCTTCTTGCAGGCTTGCTTCTGTTCACTTGTGTTGTAATCTGAAAAAGACAAAACATTATTAATCATAACAGAAAGTAATGCATATTTAATTGCTTACTGTATAAAGTTAGCATGAGAGTGAAATAGAAAGCGTCTGAACAAATGCACCACAAATAAAGTTCATAAATACAGACTTTTGGTGGTACAAAAGATCATCCCATAATAGCATATATATTTCTTGTAAATGTTATACTATTAAAAAATAATGGATGTTACATTAAATTTGGAGTTGCAGGTGTTTTCTTAAAGGTCATACATCCATACAACAGGCTGATTAATTAAGAGGATTGTAATAATCCAAAAACCTTTACTCGTTCATTAATTATTTCTTGAAATAATAAATGATTAATGACACGTACAGGGCAGTGTATTATACGGCTGTGCCACTATCCAGTTATTTTTAATTACTGGTAATCTGGGTGGTAATTGTAGAGATATCTTGCTGCTGCAAATGAAGGTTTGTTTCACTAATGGATGACGGTCTCATGGAACGATGGTCGCAAGCAGGGTGAAAGGATGTCATTAAAATGTATCCTATTAAGATATCAGATGTCAATAGGAAAAAAAATATAGCATCTTAACTACATCATAAAAGTACACATACCTCCAGTTTTTGGTGCCCTAGATGATTCTTGTTGATTTGTAGATTTATTGCGATTGTGGTTCTTTTTTTTCCCACCAGCAGCTCTGACAGAGCGAAGCAACACCCCACTGGCCTTGAAGAAAGCAACCAGGAAAGGCTGTTTGGACTGGGGCCCATTCCTCCCAATGATTCCAGCAGACTTTATGTTGATACTTCGGCCTGTAAAAAACAGGAGGTAAATAAAACGATAAAAATAAAGAAGAAAAAAAAAGGGGATTTTGTATCATTTTATGCTTAAAAGGTCAGTCCAGTATCTTTAAAAATACTAGGTCAACCTATTGATCTTTTTGATGGATTTAAGGCCATTTATTGGTGGTAAATAACAAAATAATTCAATACTGTCAAAGACGCAAGTCACATTTGTCCCCAGGTCAATGAAAACATGAGTTTTGTATCAAATGCAGACATTGTGTTGTCATGAACTTCCTAAACTTCCTGACCCTTTCTAAGTTCCAAGAGTCTGTTATAAATTCACAGAAGGTGAAGCTGACTTCACTTGCCATCCACAGTCTCCACGCAGAGCTGCAGGCCCAGGTTCTGCTGCGGGTTCATCACCCAGTGGTTACTGGTGGCCGTGATGTCAAACACAAGCCAGCCCCCATCGGATGCCTGGACCTTTTTGGAGTCGAGCAGGAACGTCTCTGCATCTCTGAAGGTAAGGAAAAACAATGAGACATCTGCGTTAAATAAACCGCAGTTAGAATAATGCACTCTCAAAGAGCCAGGACATACATGAAAGCAGCACCTGCTATTACACAACAAAACAACATATGTTATGTCTTATAATTTTCTAAAATATTTCATAATCCATTGAAAATGTACTTAATTTTTTAGGCTCTGTGGGTATGTTGGTTTTCAAGATTATCACTCATGCATTTCAGAGAGGTGCTAGTGAAATCAGTGTGGTCACTTTACTGCTTCATTATAAACATATTACAAAACCCCAGTGCCTGCTACAAAACGTTAAGCCCTAGAACAAATTAAAACTGTCTGTGCACCTTAATGTTGCATAGCTTTAATGGGACAAAAAAAGAAACCATATGCTTCTTTGAGGGCATTTAAACTGAGTCCAAGAGGTCTCAACCAGTAAGACTGGAACAGATAAACGAGGTATCACTGACTGATCACGAATGAATGCTTCGCCCAAACTGTGTAGCAGAAGCCAACAATCTGAGTGGCTTTTATTAGTTTCTTGATCTCTTTATCCTTTTGAAACATTCTTCTCTAAAAAAGGCCTTTGGTATTAAAAACTGTTGATTTGGTGTGTTAGAGTAATTTAGTCATTTTTGTGCTCTGGTTTTGTACTGGATATAAAAAAGAAAGCAGCAGGGCAATTGTTGAAGAAGCTGTGACTTGTAATAAACTGCAGAGTTGTGTGGTATTAAACATGTGCCAAGATTTCGGCTATTTGAGTTATGAGTTATGAATCATGTATATCAGCCCTGGTGTATTTTTAACATGAGCCTGGCATAAGGTATCGATCAATGCTAAGTTGAAAAAGCCCCGCTTCGCAATTTGCATTGGATTCCTTTCAAGTGGCAGATCGGATAAGGCAGCGCCTGTTCAGTTTTTGTGGTTACACGGTGCTGGTGGGAGAGAACCAAGAGTTTCCATGTGGCCTCAATAGTTCAAGAATTATTCATGTGTTTATTACAGGTGTAATAAAACTCAACCTCATGTGGAATTCCACATGAGGTCAATCTTTATGAGTGACATGCTGGTGAACTTCCTCTTTGAAAAGTACAGTATTAAGCTCATATCCTGTGATAATTTAGTTTGTGTAGGTAAGAATTCATTATTCCCATAGCCATATCCAAGAGGAAAGTACTTATCCTGCCCCTTCATCTGTGATTACTGGATGTACTGTTCCACAGAGAGTGAGTTAAAGTGAGTCGAAACTAGGGAAAGCAGTAACCTCTCTTTTTAGAAAAGTCTGTCTCCTGCAAATTATGTTCATGTGCCACTATTTTCCAATAGTAATTTATGTTGGGCAGCGAAGTTCAGTAGCAGTGCAGGGTGTCTTCTGACGTTGATATAGTGGAGTGACAGAAGGTCAGGGTGGTGCGTAGTCGTCTAGTTTTAAAGGCACCCTGTGGGGTTTTTGACCACTAGAACTGTAGATATATGAAGCAATATGTTTTGAAGAGGTCCTTGTTTTGTTCCATTCATGTGCTCAAGGACGATGGTTTCCCTAATCAACTGTAAGTGAGAATAAAGTACCAAAACATCTTGCAATATGCAAAGAACAGCAGTGAAGGAGGAAACTGCTAGCAAGCAAACATGGAGGTAACAACCCATTCTCATTCACGGAGCGTAAAAATACAGCAGCTTGGTCAGTGGCCCTTGGCGTGTGATACCAATGCACAATGCACCGTTTTAGCATCTGCCTGAGACACACAGGGCTTTAAACTAACACCAGTGTTAACCCATCTGCAGTGATTACATAGTAGAAATCCTCTTTAATGTCCTGTAAAATTCACCTAAACTCCCCTACAACGCCTTTTCAAAGCATACTGAAAGTGAATTGAGAACTGTTCTTGTTCTGTATTTAGTACATGTACATGCATGATCTTATTTTAAAAGTAATACTAACAGTCAGAACCACTGTAAGTGATAAGCCTCGAGTTTGGGTTGGCCAATCACTGCCTCTTTAAATACCTCTACACTACAGGAAATGTGGTCCTTCAGCTCAAGCCTTGGTTGGCTATCGAGGCCATAACAACAGCATTGGAAGCTCCGATTTGCTCAAGTGAGGTGTCGCTGGAAAGGTCAGGAGTCCCCCTCTATATCAGTCGGTTTGTTTGTGCAGAATGGGAGAAATTATGAATGATATGAAGAGAAATATGAACATTTGAGACGGTGCAATGTCAGTTTGTGGATATTTATGGATGCATTGATGTGTTTAGACTAAATATTTCATTGGATTTAGATGATCGGGCATTTGGCAGTGTGTTAGAAATAAAATGGGGGCTGTGTATACTGTGAGTCAGTCTGGATAATATGGATCTGTGGATTAGGATAACGCTTCATAGGTAAATCATAATCTTTTATTTGTTTGTTTCTTTGTCCAACAGAAGGGTTTGTTAAGCCTGCTATGGTGGTTGTATCTTGAAATGATCAGCAACTTGACACAGTCATGAGTCACAATTTTTGGACGGTGACCCACCATTTGGGAACCACTGTTTAAAGTACTGTTAACAGGAAGTGAGGGGAGAGGCTCCCTGGGTGGATTTGAGCTGGGGACATTGCTATTAGTGTTCATGGTCATCTTAAAGCCTTCATATGCCTCAAACAAAGTGGCTTAATTTTCCACTTAAACCCACTAAGTATCTTCTTACTTTGCCATACTCAAGTTGGTGCACAAGTGAACTTTGTAGAAACTGAAGTTTGGCTTACAAACTAATGGTACTCATATAATTTAAACTCACTGTGGCTTTTTAAGTTGAGGAAAAACTTAAGCAAACTTTTAAATCACACACTGCAATATTTCTTGCACTGGGACAAACTAGTTCTTCTTTGTGAATGCTACCTCAAACACACTATTCCCCATAAAGCTGTGTGTGAAAACCTAAACTGAGCAGTCTTCCCCTTTAAGATGGCAGAGTCCATTGACTTGGACCTTTTCAAAGCCCAGGAGGGCTATATCTCCCCTTCAATCACCCACACACATTTTTGGCAAGCAAATATGGGCCCACTTTTAAGTACACCCTTGTGTATTCAGCTATGTCATGGTTTAAACTTCCGGAATATTGTTAAGACAGGCAGGTGGTGGGCATAACAGTGACCACGGGAGCACCCGAGGGAGCCCCTTCCCCCCCTGTTGTGGGCCCTCATGGTTTCATCTGGGACACGGCCAGCTTGGCAGGCAACACAAGACGAGTGATAACTGATGGACCTTCCAAGCTTCATAAGTGGCCAACTTGCTAATGGAGTTCTCTTTATCCGAGAACTATATTTGTAAGGCAGACATGGTGCGAATGAAGGAGAACAGAGTTGGAGATAGAAAGGCGCTCTGTGCGAGTGGAAAGTTTTAACTGTGCAAGACAATAGCTGCTGGACTGTTTGCCTTTTTAACTGTGAAATAAGATAACTGCATGGGGTACAAGTACTCACTGGGTCCCTGTCAGAGTGTAGTGGACTAAAAGTTCTGATCAAAAAGCAGCAATCTAAGCTTTTAGCTGGCGTAGGGAGAACTTATTTTAACTACTTTATATATTTTTAGTAGTTGTAACAATGGGAACTCGTCATATGTTTTGTATGTAAACTCTTGATTTTATGTAACTTCTAATACTTTTGTCAGATAAATGCAGTGTAATAAAAAATTAAATGAAAATACTCAAGTTCAAGTACCTCAAAATTGTACTTTGTTACAATCCACCACCGCCTTTAATGTTTGGTTATGGTGGATTAGGTACTTACTTGTTCTGATATTCCTTGATGACTTGATATATGGTAACCTTCAGAGTAACATTGTCGTAGCGAGCATGGCTGCGGTCCTTATAGATCCGAAACTCTGCAGCAGTCACTGCCTCTCCGTCCGGGATCTGAGTCAGATCGAAGCGGAACTCCTTGTAGTGCCTCCGTTGGTGAGAAAAATCTTTATCTTTCTCCACTGGGAAGGAAATATATTTTATGAAGAATTTCATTTTACTGGCAGCAAAGCTCACACACTGATCAAAAAATATGACTTCAACTCCTGAACCTCTGTGTGCGTTGCTCTAAGGAGAAAATATGCCAGCATTAACGCACAGAAAAAGAGTAATTTATCACATCTTCTTTTACATTCCAGGTCCAATCCAAACATTTTGACTACCAACAAAAGCACTTTCCAGTTCATTAAATCAGTCAACTGAATACAGGTAGCAGTTCCCAGACAGGCCCTCTACTGTGTGCCTAACTGCATTCTCTGGCCATGATGAATGGGCTGTCAGTTAAGAAAAACAGGCTGATTTCAATTAAAGACACTTTCGTCTGCTCCTCAAGTGAGAGAAAAGACCAGACAGGATTCTTCAATGTCATGTGAGCGTCTACTCTGACCTCATTTCTGACCTTTTGCTGACCTCCTGTAGGTTTCATACAAAGAGTGTTTAATGACCCTTAACCTTTAAAACTAAATATTTCTAATATAATGAGACATCTATAGGCCTGTCATTTTTGAAACTGTTTAAAAACTGAACACATGAGTGGTCATTTCATATTTCACTGCATGGAAATAAATAAAAGATATGTGCAGTTTTTTTTCAAGAGGTGGCATCTATTTTTGTAGATAAGATAAACCCCCTTAAAGCAGTGACTTAAATAATCAAAGCCTCACTGTGGATCAACATTGATGACAAAAGATACTTTGATACTACTAAAAAAAGCGGCTGCTAACTGTCTCACACCCCTGCCTGGTGGCAGAATAGCGGCATGTGGCTGAGGTCAGTGGATTTTCTGTCATCCATGGTGATATCATGCGGTGCGTTTCCCTGATATTTTATCGGGGGAGAACGCCTGTGGTTACTTAGCACAAACAGGTCAGAGGTCAGGTCTGACTTTTACCCACTGTGCGTGTTCCATTATATTAGCCACAGGCAGTAATCTGAAGCAGAGGTGCCACTGAAAGCACAGAGCATTTAACTTTAAAATCAAAGATTAAATAATAATGACTTCTCATCTGGTAAGGGAGAGCAGCATGCGTACTTACAAGGAAAGTATTTTGTTAACAAGATTAACAAATGACCCGTGTTTCATCTCTACTCCCACTGCAAACAGCCTCATGCATGGATCTTTCAATAGCTGTACACACCGAAAGGTCGAATGGTTACAGTAAGCATATTAAACTGCATGAAATGCCACATAGACGTTTGTAAAACAGTTGAGATCAGTAGCTATATTTGAGTGTACTGTAATAAAGACAGAGCCCCATTGAACACTTTACTGACAGTCCCCAGAACGAGAGCAGAGCTTTCAAGGCTGACAGTGTACATGCCCTGCTATAGTGGTAAGTGGAAACAGATGGGCTCAGACCAAGGTGAGGGATTATACTCCCAAGCAACTCTACACAAATTCACTTTTACATGTTTTGCTCTTTATTTAAGAAAATAAAAGCCCTAAAACTACAACACCAACAAGTTCATTTACAGTGACATTTTTTAAAACTTTCATTTGGGATCCTGCAATGCTGCATCATATCTCATTTTTTAATAACTCTTGATGTAGCATGCCTAATATTTTAATTCTCATCAAAGAACTATTAATGCTACAGATAACACAAATATGAGGAACAGAGCTTTCTCTTGGTGACAGAACCTCAAGACATAAAGGCATCCGTCAATATCACTCCTCTTTTAACAACAGGAAATAATTTAGACCAATTTTCTCAAGGTCAGACAGTCATCTGATAAGGTGCTCTGAACTGCTGGGTTAAGGGTCGCTGCTACTGAACAAACACAATCATTATACAGATCAGCTGCTTTTAATAGGAAGCAGCACAAATTGAAAAGGTCAAAATGTTGGGCCTAATTCTGTTAAATACTAAATATTTCACACAAGACCAAAGCAACTGAGTCTGAAAATGTACTTACATGTTCAAATTCAGATGTAGTAATTTAGAGGGGAAAAAACAGTGATACTGGGATGAAGTCACCAACTGGAAAACATAACTAATACTGTTAGATTTTTCTTAATAGGACAACATAGCTCAGATTATTCAAACAAAAGCTACACATGTCGAATTATTTTCACAAAATTAACTGCATGTGCTGATACCAACACAGCAGGTTTAATTACTTAAGTATTTAATTAGACTTAATTAACTTAGACTTAATCTCTACAGATTTGCCATAATGAATTAAAATAGGCTTTATTCTTGAACTCTTGAACACATAATTTTAATGTTCTTGTATTTTATTGTTCCTTGTCTGCAGGGGGTGATTGGACAAAAATTGCACTTAATGTGGAAAATATGAGGCTTTTCATTAAGTACACAGATAAAGCCCATTCAGTTAAAATCCTTATTATACCTTATTAATTTCCTTTACAGTGGAAGGGATGAAGATGAGCTGGAGATAGTTTTTAAAACTGAGAGATCTCTCTAAATTATACTGAAACCTGACCTGCATCCTCATTTTGTTTCACTTAATATAGATTTAAGGAAACGTGATGAGACACTACGTCACTTTAATGCCACTTACCTAAATTGACAAAGCTCATGACCATGTCGGCATCATTGAGAAAGTTGGTGTCGTGCGCTGTGGTGAGTGCGGGGCTGTGGCCTAACAGAGGGGCCGCTCGGTAAGGCTGTGCCACACGGGAGTAGCCGGCCTGCTGTGGGCTGTAGTAACCTTTCCTGGAGTGCCCTTGAGCCTTGGCGCTGAAGCTCTTCCCCGCGCCGTGCTGCGCTCCCTCCTCCTCCTCCTCCTCCGCCTCCACAGCCATGGCGTTGTACAGGTCGAGCATGAAGAGCGGCGCGGAGGACGCCTGCTTACCGGGAGAGAAGGGCCTCGGACGGTGAGGCAAGCCCAGGATGGAGAGGATCTCTCTCTGGATCTCCCTGCGTTCGTGATTGCGCAACCTCCTGTAAATAAAACTGGAGTGCACATGGTTGTCACTTAAGCCGCAATGAGCGCAGGACAGAAAACTCAAGCAGCTCCACGCGAGTCCAAGCACAGCACGGCTCAGGGGTGTAAGCGCTGTCATCTTGACAAGTTCACTTTGGGGGTGTGAAGTTGAACTACATCGCACTCTGTGAGAAAAGTAAAACCACTTGTATCTCTACTAAATACAGAATCATAGACTTTCCATATTGGACAGAGGCACCACAACTTTCCCGGTGGTAACTGAGGAGGCTTTTTACCAGTCAGCGCTTCTACAAATGAGGTATCAGCTTGCAGAAAAGTCAGCGCTCCTCTCCTGTGCGTAAAGCTCCTCCAGCAGTATGTACTCCTCCAGGGTCCATCCAAAGCCTCAGCCACACCAAGTATTTATGGAGCTATGACCCCGTCCCTCACCTTACTCCTCTGTGATGCAGAAACACGTAGGTACGCCCATAACGTCGAGGGATAACCCGGAGTTTCCAGTGGATGAAATGTGTTGAGCTGTGTCAAAAAAGAACAGAGAGGAGCTCGACTCATGCCCCGGCTCGCATTCTTCTTTCTTTTTCCCCCTCTCCCCCCAGAGAGAGTACTGGGGCTAGTTGCCCTCTGAGTCCATCCCACACTCAATTTTTGTTTTTGCATCCACCTCTAGCGGCAGCAATAAAACTTCAGCCCAGTCCCATGATGAATGTGGCGGCTCAGGGAGTGTAAAAGGAGACACTTGAAATCCGAGAGGCCGTCTTAACGAGTGAAAGAATAATGACAGAGCCTTTTAATCACCCCAACTTATTGAAGTCCGCGTGTTTATGGCAGAGGACTCCAGCTGCATTCACCACCAGCAAGGATCCTGTTTTTATTCTGTATGGGCTTAAACATTTTCCACTGGGATGCTGTCAAATATTATTTTATTAAATGTACTATACAAACAAGTGGGCCAGCTTGTGATGAACAGAGATAAAAAATTACACAAAGATTTATAAGGATAGTACACATTCATTATAACGAGCCTCAGACATTCTGCAGGTCTCTACTGTACAATGATTTCCATCCTCATGATTATAAACAAAAATACCCCAAAGAGAAGTTCATAGAAAGTATAGAAAAGTTCATTTAAAGCTGGAGCCTAGAAAGCTCCACTCTCAGAGGAACATTAAGTAAACATCATGTTGAGGTAAGTATATGGTGGGATAATTAAAAACATAAATACTCAGAGGTTTCCATGTGATGGGTGGCTGCTGTCCAAAATGAAAAAAAAGGGAAGCGTCCCTCTGAGGTGAAGTAACTCATTGACATGCTGGGATGTTACTACACAGCGCCATCTAGTGTGCAAAGCCATGATACTTAAATTGGTATTTCTGAAATCCCTCTGAAACACTCACACACCGCCTACAGAAGCTTTCTAGCTGCACTTGTATCCAAGTTTCCTGCTGCTGTGTCCTTAGCAGGGGCGTCATAGGAGGGGGGAAGAGGGACTGATTATGCAGGTTGCTAAAGGGAGGGAGGGGGGCCTCGAAAAGCCTGGAGTGAAAACTTTGGTTTTATTTGCAATATTACATTTATAAATTATTAGTACCATAAATATAATTGTATGAATTAAGTGGTTAAAAGACTGAATATTGTATAAACAAAAAATAGTGGAAGCTCTCTCAAACCCCGCTGACCCCTGAAAGGCACAAAAGTCAAGTTGTTTCCCAAGAAAGGGAAATTGGGGTTCCAAAAAAAGGAAAGAAAGGCAAGGAGACTCTGTTTTGCTCTCTGTATCAGTCTGGACTAGAAGTTAAAATCCAATCAGGGCCAACCGACCCCTCCCCAAACTCCTCCTCTTTGTGATGGTCTGACAAGCTGTCGGAGTAAGCATGGAGCCCACACTGTAACTAACTGCACTCCCTGATTAAGTATTGTCACATTTTTGGAAAAATGAAATAGTGATTCCAGAGAGAAGCAGACAGAGGGGTCTACAGTCTGTGTTTGAAGGATATATCCAGGATGTCAAACTGACTCAGCAGCAACAACAGGTTAAAAAGACAAAGATAGTTAGAAGCTAAAGCCGAACTGTAGGCTACAGATCACAGTGTAAAAGTGAACCACCACATCACTGCTAATCGCCACAGAAGACAATGAATATAAAGGGAAACTTTGCTGATATTGAACCAGTTGTGCGGCATCACAGTGTGTGCAGATGAACAGTGTTTGGTTCTGCCCGTGTGCCACCAGCAGTCAAACCTCTGCTGCCGGACTGTCGGGGAGCTCCGGGGGAAGTCAAACAGCAAAGTATATCAGCAAAGTTTCCCTGCTTCCCTTCACTGGTTCCTGTACAACAGGGTCGGTCTTTTTTCACTGTTATAATCATTAAAAAGCAAAAGCAGCATGTGTATACATTCAGTAGGCTATATCTTCAGTAGCTAGCTAGCTAACCCTACACTTTTCAGGGTTTGATTTTGGTTTTGGAACAGGGAAGAAACGTATGTCTTTTTCCAACCTCTCCAGGTAACGAGTATCATTAATACACGACGTGCCCCAGGCACAACATTTAGCTCCAAATCCACAAAACCAGCCTGAAAATGAGGGAAATCTAAAACAATTGCATTAGAGTCAATGGAGCACAGCTGTATTGTTGTCAGACCCTGGTCTGAGCCAGCCTGATGCAACGCTATGATTGGTCAACGAAGGGTCAATTTGGGATCTGCACTGTAGCTGACAACATAAGCAACCAGTCAACGTAGCTGATGACATAAAATGCAGTCTGCAGCTTGCAGTAATGGCGGCTTCCAAAGCAACAAGTGCCAACTCTAACATTAGTAGAGTAAACACAGCGAGTGTTTACTAAGTGAAATAATTGCAGAAATAGAATTAATAACAACAGTTTAATTAGAGGAAGAGACAACAACAAGATGTTCCCCCATGTTTTGTTACACTGATTGGCTGAGGGAGTTTGTCAAGGCCACTAAAATTGTTAAGGGCCGGCAGGGAGTCAAGAATTATAGAGAGAGTGAAACAGAATGTTGAGCTCTCGTCAACGGGGTGGTCTTACCGGGAAAGAAGCAAAGGGACACAGAGACTGCTTATGAATAGGGCCAAGAATTTGATGCTACACCCCCGGTCCTTACAGGACCCAGGTGATGAACTCTTTTTTGTTTCACACTTCATCCTGTGTGATGCTGCAGATGGAAATGTTCACAATAATACTAATACTACTACTAATAATAACCCAGCAGAAAGATGAGATCAATAATGTGATGGAGTCCTGGAATAAACATCACAAATCAATAAGATGTTTTAATTCTAGTTAAAAAAAAAATAAAGAGTGAGAGAGAGAGAGATTCATACAAAAGTCACCTTAACACAAAATAATAAAATTACAAAAGCTGTTTAAGACATGTCACTGCTGAAACACACAGTTATGACTCTTTTATAAATAACAATAAAATACCAGCTACAGTAATGAAAGGTAAGCCTCGGGAACATAAGTGACATCATATTTCAAAGTAAAATGTCAGCATGTTCTTTGATGGTGAAACTTTAAAGGTACACTATGCAGGAATTGTCGACTAATGTTCGTGAACAGTATTGCCAGCAAAAATTGAAGTAAAAGCCAGGGTTAGGGGAAACTGAGAAAATCAAATGTCTTAATAATCATCAGTAATGTGGGTAAAATGGTGAAGTGGGTAAAGACAAATAACAGAACAGCTAGAACAGTCTTTTTTTATGTGCTTTGTCTGCAATTTTCGTAGCTTATTTTTGAATAAGTGCTGGTACGGTGTGGCACCTGGTCGCCATCTTTTTATCCTGACCTCACCTGCGCGCTGTGCATAGGAAAGTCCTGAACATAGCAAAACAAGAAGGAAATTAGAAAATACAGGCAGAGGGCAGAGTCTCCACGGATGATTACATTGCCACACACTTCTAGTGGGTCATAATTGATGGTTGAGAGGGATTACTTTTGTATGAGTCTGTACACTGTGTTAAGGTAAATCCTGCATAGTATACTTTTAAACATTTTACTTATTGTGATAGGGCGTAAAATATTCATTTATCTTGGGTGATACACAATATTAGCTGTTGTAAAAGTTTTTTCATAATAAGTGCGAAACAGTCAAACTGAATGCTTTAGGAACATAAAGGCTTACAGCAGCTTATAATTAGCTACAGGAAGTCACAGTCTTTGCTTGAAACATGATATAAGGTATAATGGAATAATTTATTGCATGGAATCTGTCGATCATAGAAGTTGCGTGTTTTTTGAACAGACGATATAGCACCCATCTAATGTGTAGTGAAAATTTAGAGAGCAACATGCAGTGAAGCAACACCAGGGGGCAATCTGGGAAAAAGCACCAGCCACACTGCCCAGAGAGAGAGATCCAGACATACATGAAGTACACAAGGTCAAGGTGCTCAAATGAGAGGTATGAAATGGAGCCAATTATTAATTCTCTTCACACCATTGATAACACCTCAAAGCATGTTCAAAGACGTGAATAATAATTCAAAAATACCATCAGAGAAAATGTGATAGGATCTAGTTCTGTTGACTGTCTGAGATCACATAGAAGCTGTAAGAGGAGGTCCGTTTTGTTTCCACGACAGAGAAAAAACTGTAAAGATGAGATCTTCCTGAGAATGGCTGTTTGTTCCACATCAGCTCGAGACTGGTGCCTGCAGTGACGCTGCGTTACGTCAATAGTTTGGCCCTTTGCTGTAAGAATCCCGCCTCATCATGCTACCGTAGCACATGGATGGATCACACACCCCAGGCTGACCAGGGATGCCAGGATTACCACTTTTGCCCTCTGCTCCGTTTAGACCGGGGTGTCCAGGCTTTCCTGGCGCTCCTGGCTTACCGTACCCCTGCGGACCCATTGGACCTGTGGAGATAAAAATACAAAGCCATGATCAGTTCAAAGGAGCGGCACACAGTAGTAAAAGCATGAAATTAGAGATGTTGATAATCAGTTGTCGCAGAGTCAAACTGACTATAAGAATTTTGACCGATTGATACTATCAGTTAAACAGTTAAATATGTATTTTATATAGTAAATCACTGGCGCTAAGGGGGAGATAATGAGACCGCAGAATCGCTCCTGAGAGAAGACTACAGCACCCTTCAACTAGCTGATGACCCAGAGGCAGAGTTTGACACCTATATGAGAGACAATTCCTTGCTCATTGGGTGCTAACCCTCTTCACTGATGAAAAGGATAAGTCAGCTCAACATATGCCCAGTTAGCATGAGTTAACATCCAAAACCGAGCTGTTAAATGGTCCCAACAAACTCACATTGAAATGGTTCGACTGTGTGGTTAAACCTGTTAGGTAATGTTAGCTCTGTGATGCTAACAGTTAGCCCTGTCGCTGTATATTCAGTGCAGGTGGATTCTCAACGCTCCTGACGTAGCAGTAATGTCAGGATAAACAAAGAGAGCAAGAGAAAAGAGGCACTGAGTAAACCAATAACCTACATGCAGTTCTATAATTAATTACGTTTTTACCCTCTTTAAATAGTAAAAATAAAATTTAAAAAGTCATAGCTAAGCATCCTCCCATGAAATCTTTTTCAAGTATCACAGAAAATTAGCTTCCACATGGCTTTGTGAATGATTAGTGACACTGAATAATTGGTCACATTAATTACCTGGAGGCCCTGGTGGCCCTTGGTCTCCGATAGTGGTTCGACCCGGGCTCCCCTTCTCGCCCTGTAAACCTGGTTCTCCTGCAAACACAGGTGTACCTGTTTGAGCATTCTGCGACACAGCCTTAATAACATACTGTAGACTTTGACCCAGGTTTTACCTTTCATCCCATGAAGACCAGGGTGCCCTGGCTGACCAGGGTGGCCTGGTTGTCCCCTGGAGCCACTAAGTCCAGGAAGACCCCTAAGTCCCTGGGGCCCAGTTTGACCTGGAGGACCAGGAGATCCAGGCCGGGTTTGACATCTGGTACAGCTACTCTGCTGGTTGCTCAGCAACAATAAAGGCAGCTCAGCTAGGATGAATGACAATGAGAATATTTCAGATGTGTGGTGAAAACACACAGACATGTTAGTCAGTCTACAGTGATACTCACACTGAAGAATCTCTCTGCAGATTTGCCGAATGTGATGGTCCGACATTTGGCTTGCCTGGAATGAAAAGTGATGGATCGTATGGATTTTCAGTGACTCCATCATATCAGATATAACATCACAATAAAAAACATCATCTGCATTGAAGTTAGCACAATGTGTAGCAAACATACAGATCTTCCTTCAGGTCCAGGTGGGCCAGGTGGACCACTCTCCCCCTGCAGCCCTCGAGGGCCAGCTGGGCCTGACTGACCCGGCTGTCCGGGCCGTCCCATCGCACCTTCTTGTCCTCTCTGCCCCGAATCCCCTGCTGTCCCTTTCTGGCAAAAATACCACCGCAAGGTTAGCGCTACACAGAGCGGTTCAGGTTGGATGGAAGAACATTCATTAAATTATTCAGCTGAACATACCTCTCCTTTCAGTCCCACTGGACCAGCTGAGCCCTGTTGATGAAAGTCAGAATAGGTCATCAAAAACTAGAAAGCATTCGAAGGGCATGCATCTCGATCAGGGCTGCACAAACCCCAAAGTGTGTTATTTTGTAGTAACAGAAAAGCAGCTTCTAGGTAGGATTAAAATTCTCATTGACAGATAATTTGCAGATTTTTGGAGCATGCGTAAATCCTGAAATCAAGAGAGCATAATGTGCACAAAAATGTAAAGCATGTCAGACTCATGACTACTGAGTGGGTGTCAAGCTGTTGTAGCACCACCTATAGGTTAAATAGCATCACATTGTGTCAGTGATTGTGTCACTGATATTTGCCTGTGGCATCTAAATTTAATCAAACCCCCACCTTCATGTATTCGGAAATTATATGACTTTATGTCAGGCAGGCCATGACTCCAAGAAGTTAACAACAAGTCAGTAAAAAGATCATCCCTACAAGGTCATACAAATATATACAAAACATGGCATGGATGAGGAGTGCTTAAAAAACAAAATGAAAATGGAAATAAATTAATTGTACATAAAAGCTGGTATGGACTATATGGATAGATTAGATATGCTTTGCCCCGGCTCCTCATTACTTCTTATTCTAAGCAAAAATAATTTGATTGCTAAGCCTCCCAGGTAAGGAGTTAATGAGTGATGATTTAAAGTTTTGAACAAATTGCCACATGGGGGCGCTATTCACATTAAAAATGAAGTTTCCATTTTTGAGCTATCCTGCCATGTAAAAGAAACAGACATGGACCATTCTTTTGGGAAGTAATTAATGTATTGTTCAGGGTTTTCTTAATTTGCTCAGCATTGACATTGACAGAAAACAAGTTCAAAAGACATCAGTAAAATATCCAATAAAATATAAGAGAGATTTTATTGTGCTTTTTTTTGCACTACTTGTGTTTGTCAGCACACAACAAAGATGATCAAAGTAACTCACATGTTCCCCCCGCCGACCAGGCTCTCCTTTTCCACCCTTCATTCCCTGGTGAGAAAATCATTAGATTAAAGTCATGAAAGCATCTGAAATCAGCTCTATACTGCAGCATATGGTACTGTGCTGCAGATTAGAACATCCATTCGAAAACATGATGATTGATGCATATTTGAAGCAGTTTTTATGGGTGATAATGTGTTTTGAATGCAGCCTCATGATAACACTTCATTGTAATGTTCAGCAGTTGATTTTGCTGTCATGACATGAAGTTGATCCAGTGTAGTGTAATGGAGAAAATCATGTCAAAATTCAGAAGAACACCAAATCTCCAGTTACACTTCCAAAAGACACAATTGTTTTCCAAACCCACAATCAATAGGCGATAAGTGAGGCTATATTTCCACTGGATTCTTGATTTCTATATGAAATGAATTAAAGATTGTATGTTCCTCCACTAACATACATACTTAGAGTAAAGACAGTATACAGTGTTGAAACAGTTACTGGATAAGTTCTACACTGTGAATTTCAGTTAACAGATAAATGGTAGCAATTTCTTTTGGACCAAAGTTTCAGTCCGGCACTCAGTGCTGATAAGATAAGATAACTCAGTCGCAATTATTTAAAGATCTAATTTGAAAGTTAGCATTACACAGGTCATCACTATCATAGGACAATCTGCTTGTGTGACTAATCTATTTTTGTTGTGAATCTTACCATCTCTCCTTTATTGCCTGGATTTCCTCTTTGTCCCTGATTGAAGGAAAAGAAAAACATTAAGGCCAGGATTATGATGTTATAGTATGTTTTGTGGCAGGTGAAACAAACACAAGATCCAAATGATTTGCAGAAAACAAAAAATATTGTCAGAGTACATCTATCTATCTATATTTAATATCACAGTGAAGATTTCTCACATTTGGCTTAGTTTTGTACAAATGTTCATGTGGTAATACATTTCCTGAGAAAACTATGAATATTCTTGCCTAAAAATACTGATTGTGATGTAGGTCTGTTGCTGATATGGAAGTCGAGTCATTATTACAACTAAAATTTCTGGCAATGTAACATTCATGACTAAATATCAATTAATTTTGGTTTAACCAGAGTTGATAAACCCTGACAAGTAAACAGCTCAAATTAGGAATATCCATTGTCATAAATCATACGTCTGAAAAGATTTCGGCAGGATGAAAGGGGGAGAGACAGCAGTGTCACAACACTGCCAGAAAAAAATGTAAGTAAAAATACCTTGCTGCCCTTCAGGCCTGGCATGCCCGGGTGCCCCGGCTGACCTGCTCTTCCTGGTTCCCCTGCAGTCCCCTTAAGTAGCATTAAATTTAACACCAATCATCAAAAACAAGAACACCTTTTAAACTGCAAGACATAAAAACAGTATTTTGTTACACTGGATAAACACATGTTTACTTACTCGCAGCTTTGCTGAGTCAATAAATTATTACAGCACTTTAAATCAGTAATAAAGCCACCTGGTTCATATTATAGTATCTAAATGGAAACCTACCGCAGGCCCTGGTTTTCCTGGACTTCCTGGACTTCCACTTCCGCCCTTATTCCCCTTGATTAAGACATAAAACATCTCATGTTACGGAAAACATACAATGATATAACATCCAAACCACACCACATCACTCACTGGACTGCAGTTTACACTTCCTTATTATATTTCATTTTCATTGATGCGTGCAATAGTTTTAGCATATTTTCACAAGGTTTTGGTGTACTGCAGCTTGACATGTAATTATGTCTAATCATGTGCTTTCTTTTTGAGTTAAACAAGCCTCAGTAATTGCAGTCTGAAGCTCAGCCATAAAATCAAAGTTTTGCCTGCCTGTCCATAAAGCTTTTCACTCGTGTGCCATTTACCAATACACATTGGCCTGTTAAAGCCGGATCAGCTAATGAAAAGTGATTAGGAGACAGAGCGTCCAGACCAGACAAGCCCAGACTGCTTACATTTCCACTAAAATTCCATTGACGAAAGCAGTAGGGCCGGATCAGCGCTTAATTTAGCTCTGCCGGTGTGGCCAAGAGATCGTTACTTGTGCTAAAGTGTATTTTAGAAAAACAGTGACCAAACAAAACATGCAATGCTGCTGACACAAGCAGCTCACTGTGCATTTCAATCAACTTGTTGGTTAGAAGGCTTCAAAGATGTTATCCAAACTCATGGCACTCTGTCCAACTGCAGTGCATGTTTCATAGGCTGAATGATACAAGGATTAGTAAAGTAATGTCATATGATGCCACACTGATCCACTGTACTTGCTGACAGCTGTTTAACTGTACTACATTGTTTTTGAACCGTAATCATGACATGGCTCGGCCTGCAGCTGCTAATGCCAGTTTGTGTGGCGTGATATGCAGTATTGACTCTTCTGGGTCACAGGGTGAGCCAGTGCACTCACAGCTCCAAGGTTGCAGAGGGGATAAACTCATATTATATTTAGAGCACACTTTATCCATTTTAAATACTTAAATAAATCTTTTGATGACTGTCGGTAAGAAGAAAGTCAGTGATTATTTCTGCTAGCTTCGTTTTAGGTCTGCATCACTGACAGTGCAGCTGTTTGAAAGCAGATTTTCTGACAGGCATAAATGATTACCTTGGGTCCAATTGATCCTTTTAAACCAGGTGCACCAGGTAAACCCATCTCACCCTACAGGAGAACAAAGAAATCAACATAGTAACTCTCCAGATTCAATATTAGTACTTTAGTGTGCTCCGCACCGACACACAAGTCCAACGGCTGTTCACTTACAGGTGGTCCAGGCAATCCTGTGAAGCCTCTGGACCCAGGCAAACCAGTTTCCCCCTTAAATGAAAAACATTTCAGTAAAACATGTTCACAAGGAATGACGCCAAACCATTGTTCAGTTATTTCGAACATACATTAGGAACAGGAGCTCACCTTTAGTCCAGCCTGACCTGCAATTCCTGGCAAACCAGGCATACCCTGGGAGCAAGGAAACACATTATACTGAATTACAGATCAATTTATTCAAGAATGACAAAAAAATATGACATGGAATTGTTTTTAAAGAACCAGTTCACCTCCAAATCATAAAATCTTTTTTTTTCTCATACCTAAGTGCTATTCATCATTCTAGATTGTTTTGGTGTGAGTTGCAGAGTGTTGAAGGGATGAGCCATTGAAATGTCTGCCTTCTCTGTATTGGAACCAAATGGCACTCGTCAGAGCCCCAAAAAATACATTTGAAGGACTTTACAGCAATGTCTCCTTCCAGAAATAATGACTCAGTCACTTAGTATAATCCACAGACCGTGTTGTAAGCAGTTTCATGTTTCATGTCATGAGCACGAGCCTCTCGTCAATGAGTAGATGCACACGTCTGTATGAGCGGTGATACGATTGGCGGGTGTAGTTTGGTAGAAAGGAAATAGTTCCTACATGAAACTGCTCACAACAAGGTCTGTAGATTATCTTGAGTGACCGGATCATGATTTCTAGAAAGTGACAGTGCTGTTGAGTTTATTTTTTCGGTGCTTTGAGCACCACCAACATGTTCTCATCCCATCTCGTCAAGTAGCCTACTGCCGCTTTGTCAATGGACCTACACGTCAAAATGTGACGCACTAGGCATTCTCCTGCATCAGTTTTGAATGTTCAGGAACGCCGTGTCAAATTACATTCGTTACATGCAATGTGTCCTTTCAAACTAGACTTCCATTTTCATAGGGAATATACAGTTTATGCTGGTTACAGTCTTTTTCAAAATAAACTTACAACGTAGGTAAAATACTTCATTTTAGGTTTACTTCCTTAAGTTTAAGCAACAAAAGTCCATGGTTAGATTTAGGCAACAAAAGCAGTTTTGCAGAGTTTGTTTGACCCAACCATCGCTCTTAATACTATAGTTGTTGCCCACTGCGTCACAGATAGCCACCGCCCGGTACATAGCATACGTTCGCAAAGGGTGCCTCTGTGCCCCTGTGTCAGACACTGAGGTAATATGTGTTTTTGATCTTGGGGTGAACTGTTCTTTTAATGTTTCTGTTTGTCTCTTATTCGACTCCTAACTAATGTCTTTAAATATATACTATCATTATCTACTGCTAGAGGTTCACAATATTTAACAGAACTACAGTTCTTTCAGTGTAACCGCATATTTTCATATACAGGGTTTCTGAACTGAGACTAAAAGCAGCATGAAGCACCACAGGTTCCAGTCTGTGTCCTCTCACAATGAAAGAATTACATCATTGTGTTTGTAACAATTGTAGCCAATTGCTCAATAAAAGGAACTGATTAAACTGACACGGTGCACCAAGAAATGTCTACCAAAATGTTACACTCCCCAGCTACGGTTGGCTAGTTGTACACATAAGTGGAGAAACATGGTTTGGGTATTTCTGAAAGAATATTTCAGTTTATTTCCTTCTTTAAACTGCAGCACTGTCTAAAGTTTCATCTGTGTGTCAAAGTGTACGATCTTTAGATGAATCTTTGTGCTGCAGTTGAACTGTGCACATGTATTATTTGCTGATCAATAAGAGAAAAAGGGAGTTGCACATAGGAAAAAGAAGTAAATTAGATCCAAATGTATGAATAAGTGGTTTAATACATTGAAAGTTTATGTGGTTCAACACATGCAGCAAAACTACCCTGGAGAGCCTCTTTAGTTTTTTGTTTTGACGTTTTTTTCTTCTGAGATAAATGTTTGCAGATGCTCAGTGGTTGCCTCAGACTGAAGTTTGAGTAACATATGTTCTTAGTGAATAGATGAGACAGGCAGGCAGAGAGACAGAGATATAGATAGAGCCACCCAGAGACTCATCCTCTACCTATAAGTGGAGAAATCCCCGTCTTGGGGCAGACACAGCAGCGCTAAGTTCATCTTGTTTTAACTTGAGGAAGTACAGTACTAATCCTGTCTCCTTGGATACAGCGCTAACTCTATTGTTCTGGTGGGGAAAAATGGCTTACAGCCTTGTGGAGCAACTGACTCATCTTTTGTAGACCCATCGCAAACTTTTGGACAACACTTATAATCATGATCAGTGGGGTGGCTGCCCAGTTGAAACACTTTCTTCCTAAAACAGATTTGCCAGAGCACCACAGCATTCCCTCGCTGAGTTACTTTCACTGCCTTAGATTATAGCCTGCTTGTTACATAACAGGGTTATCCTGGGATGAACTACAGGGGAAATACCCCTAATTTACTGGCTGTCAGGGGTGCTCTCTGTACTGCTGACAGTATGTTAACACACTGTAGTCTTGCTACAGTAAAACACGTTATGCATGCAAATCTACATGATCTTGTACGGTATTCGGCCGTTTTAATCCTCTGTTACTTACAGTATAATTTCACGTCAGCTACAATTTGTAAACCGTAATGCAAAGTACCACATACATAAAGCTCATCTTTTCTTTCCCTTCAATGTTAATTCAGTATGACAGTATGTCATATTTCAGTCATGCACAATTTGCATCAAATCCTCAATTTCTAGAAGTCTGAGGAAAGATCCAACAGCTCACAAACATGCACAATGAGTGATCTGTGTTTTCAACTCACAGGATGGCCTTCTCTTCCATCAACACCAGGAATACCCATAGCTCCAACTTCTCCCTTAACACATCGGAGAAACAAAAACATTGTTAATACATTTCATTTTCATCCAGTCCCTAGTGATGAGCTCTTAATTTGACACACCATCATACACACTCTCTCATAATGTTGACAAGTCATGTTGGATTTATGACATAGGCATCTGTCTGAACTTTCATGTGTACAAAGTTTAAAAAACAGGGTTTGGAAAAAGACAAGGGAGACACCAGCACTCTACGACTCTATTTCCATGGTTGCCAAACATCAACAACACAACTATTGGGAACAGCAAAGTCTTTTAAGAATGTGCACGCTTAGCCAGCCCCATGCCTCTTTTATTCTCCTGATCCTTGAATGACTTTTGTAACATACAGTTCTGCGCTGTCAAAACAAACAGACCTTTTGACCAGGTCTCCCAGGAAGTCCAACCTTTCCATCTCTTCCGGGCAGGCCCTGAAACCAGAGGAAAGGATTTTACACACAGTAATAATAACATCACATGAGCTCTGGATCTGATTCTGAATTGTTTTATACGTACAGCGTCTCCTGGATAACCTGGTGGCCCAGGAGGCCCCAAACCTCCCTTTTCTCCCTGGAAACATCACACAGTCCAATCAAAATTGTTATATTTCTTGTGTCATGTTCAGTGACTGAGCGATAAGTTTGGGACAGTCTGCACCCTTACCGCTTGACCAACTTTTCCTGGTAACCCTGGGACACCAGTGGATCCTTTTAGGCCCTGAGAAAAGTTAAAAGATTTTCAATGAGGCATTCATCATCAGACATGGTCAACAAAAGCTCCTACAAAAGCTTCATTGTCAATGCTGGCCTGTCTTTAAGACAGTTATGAGTCTGGTACTCATTTGACAGGTTCTTTCAATATACAGTAGGTAGCAAAACACTTAAAGGAACAATTCACCCCCACATCAAAAATTCTGACTTCCCCTCTTAGATGTAGAGCTAATCAATTTAGATCAGGGGTGTCAAACCTATTTTAGTTCATGGGCCACATGCAGCCCAATTTGATCTCAGATGGGCCGGACCAATAAAGCCATTGCACAATAACCTGTAAGTACCATCAGCTCCAATATTTTCCCTTCTTTTGTGTAAAGAATTACAAGTACATTCTGTTGATCCTTTTACAAAACAGATGAACAGCTTGAGATGTCTTCAGAAAAATAAGTGCAATTTCAACAGTATGTCTCAGTTTTTCCACATTCAGTCTACTTCTCACTGTCATTACATGTGCATTTATCCATACATTTCTTGATACAGATTCTTTTGAAGTGAAGCTGCTGATTGACAATATTTTGCACAATGTTCAGTATCTTTAACAGGGTATCCGCGGATTCTTGAAAAGTTTTAAAAAGTCTTAAATTCATGTATCTAAAATTAAAGCCTAAAATGTCTTACATTCATTAGAAATGTCTTAAATTGGTCTTAAATTCATTACTCAAAGGTTTTAAAATTGTTGCGGCAGGAATATTTAATCTGACTTTCTTTCTTTTCTTTTTTTTTTCTCGCGGCACTTTTCTGTGAGTATCCATGCGCCGTCCAAATAACGGCGCGCGCTGGTGGTAGCACATACACAATGAATGGGTTCGTCAGCGGAGGTCTGCGCTTTGCTCGCTCTGTGTGAAAAGGGCTTAAAGCACGCTGGCCACCTGGCACTCAATATGCTGCTGTAGTGGTTTGTTTTCAAGACATGTGAGTATCTTTGAGCAGTGAAAGTTATTATTTATTATGTCTTTTTACTTGTTGGCAGTGATTTGTTTTCCACAGAGCTCTATGTGCGAGCATTTTACTCGCATTTGCGACTAAAAATAGTTTTGTGCCAGCAAAATAAATCCTTCAGCACGCTGTGCGAGCCCAGATTTCAGCCAGCAGCAGAAACTAAAGGCGAATCCTGCTGGTTGTGGGTTGAATGGGGTCACAGACAGGAATACGGCGGTCAAATAGCCTACGGCGGCTCCGTGGCGCAAAATAACAGCTTACCGGCGACAGAGAAGTCCGACTCCAGGTCCAGTAGCCTAATTTCCTCTTTCGTTGGGCGTCATGACTGCCCAGTAGTACCTGGACAGCCGAGCTGTGGCGGCACACAGGCATGTGATGTGTCAGAGGAGAAACGAGCCGTTCATATTGTCTCTTTGTGGCAGGTAACGGTCCACAAACCTCACCGCACTTTAGGGACTGTTCTTTACTTATGGAGGGACTGTTCTTTACTTGTCAGGGGAGGAGGGTGGCTGGTTGATTCTTATTTTATTTATTTATTTTATTTTGATCCCCCCTATGTTCATCATTTATTGATGCTGTTTTTGAAGTATGAATAAGTCAATAAGTAATTTATTCCACTGAAATATCATTGATGTATTATAGAAAAGTGATTTATCTTTTTGTAAATGACAAAAGGCACATCTGCCTCATTTTTGCTGTGGTATTGTAATACTACTCAGAACCGTGATACTGGTATCATACCGTGGGTCCCAATTTTGGTACCGTGACAACACTAGATGTCACAACCATTCCATTAGGAGTTGCGCAGTGAAGCAGCTCTGGTGCTGCTTAAAAAAGTGTTCTCCCACTTCTAATTTTACAAATTAAGCACTGGTTATAGTACAGCGGGATCCCCCAACCATCGCTTATATTTATAGTTTTTTCGGTCTTAAATTCCATTCAAGGTGGCATTAAAAAGGTCTTAAAAAGTCTTAAATTTAACTTACTGAAACCTGCAGATACTCTGTTTAAACATGGTCACAGTAAGTATTCATTGTTCTATCAATGAACTGTATCCTTGTCAGGGTGGAAAAGCCTCTAAAGCAGAATTTTACATGAAGTAGGCAGCGCATTGTTTAACTTGCTCTCGAACGTTTGACACCCCTGATTTAGGTATGAGTTTCAGAGTGTAGTATATAATGTTGTGTGTTTTGAGCACCACAGGCGGAGTGCTATCTAGTTCCATAATATCTGAGAGAAGGCAGACATCTCTACGGTCAATATCTCCAACACTCAACAGCTCACACCAAAACCATATAAACTGATAAAAAGCACTACAGGTACATTTTTTTGGGTGAACTGGCCCTTTAACAACTCAATATCAGTCAGATCAGGGGGCACAAGTTATACAGTGCGGGACAAGAGCACTTCACAGACCCATTGTAAAGTTAACACGGTCACAAATATGCAGTCAGTGTTTGGCATTAGCCAGCAGTGGTCTTGTCTTCTGCGATAGACAATGAATTTTGCAACAACTTGGACTGAAACTTAAGGGAGGGACAAGTTTTACTGTCTCATTCTGGCATTCTTAAGATTGCACTGGTTGACCTAAAGCTAGACGTTCGTCAGCTATCTGTTGAATGGTGCCAAAACTCAGGGGAATGATGCATTTTCACTTTTTCAGAATGAAAAAATAAAACAGCATTTGGAAACAAGGCGGGACATTACTTCATTTGTTTTCTCAAATTTTGCATTCCATCATTCAGAAATATGCTAATCAGCTCACAAGGGAACAAATTACTCTAGCTACAGTGTAAAACCAAATGACGTTTTAATCACTGGCTGGATCGGGGAACATTTTTATCGCTGCTTCGTGTGCAAAAATGTTTTGTAAAAAGTGTCGACAGTCTGTTTCTTTCAGTTTGAGCTAAAATCAGTTTTCAGTTAACAAGCAGGTCCCAGGAACATGTGTTCATGTTCCACTGGTATGAAAACATGTATCAGATATCTCTCCAGGAACACAGATTTCTGTCAAAATGAATGTAGTTACAGTTTTAATGACAGAGATCATTAGCACAATCTGGATGTAATGATATAATATAACATAATTAGCAATAAAATGTTCCTTCAAAGGTGATATATGGCTGTGTTCATGAACACGTTTTGCAGACTGTGCATACACAAACACTGCCAATATATGGCGATGCAGCTAACACTCCTTCTTCCTCTTGTGTCCTTGAATTATGTACCTCAGACTTAATTTAGCAGACGTCTCGTTTTTCTGCTCTATAGATGCCAGGAAAATGAGACTACACCCTTGGGTGGTCTTACAACATAGGAACAATTTGGAAAGGTAGATGTAAATGCATTTCTTTCCAAAGAAAATCTTATGCCCTACTAAATGAGGATTCCCTCTGACTTTAATAGAAGCTTAAGTGGCTCCCTGTTGGTTGTTGTTCTGTGGTGCATGCAGGGTTTTAAGCTTTCCTGGGGTGCAAGCACCTCTTGACCCAGACATGACAGGTTTTTAGTTACCAAGACTAAAACTTTTGTAATTTTTTTCCCTTTAGGCTCTACTAAGAATAATTTAAAGATGAATGTCAAATGGCTAGAGTTTGAATAGTGGAGCGCAAAAGGCATCTGAGTTCTTTGCTATGTCATACAAAGGGGATTGCTTTACGTATTTTTTAGCCATGGTAGCAGCATGGCTTTATGGAAGACAATGTCATCTGTAAGTTGGCCGGTTGGTTGATCCAAGTTAAAATATCTCAGCAAACTAAGATAGGTAATCTTGTTAATCATCAGCATGTTAGCCTGCTCATTGTGAGCACCTTAGCATGTTTGTGATGGTAGCATTAGGTCAGAGCACTACTGTGATTTATGCTTTGTTCCAGTCCAAGTAGGAGGTTGGAATTTCCCTGGTGAAATTTCCAACTTCTGACCCCGAGCATGCCAGGTGCATGATGCCAAACGTAAACAAAACAACATGGCTGAACAAGACAAACTGATGTTTCTTTGGCAAGTCTACATACACTTCAACTCTCAGCAATGCAGTGCAGTATTTTTAGTATGTTTTCACCTTTTTTGGCATTTTGGCTTGAATATTTGGGGAGATGATAACGTTCAGAGACTGTTTCCTGTAACCAGTGACCTTATAACATTCGCACTATATACTGACATCAGTTTACATATATTTCTATATGTAACACTTTAATTAAATATGCTTTGCATGGCCTGCTAGTTGATGGTTTGCCATGTACAATGTGCGCTACCGTGGGTGCTTACATTTTTGTGTGACAACTGCTTCTCCATGATGGCGGGGTGAATGGATTTGCCCCGAGATTACAAGTAGGAACTCTGACTTTGAGTGGTGTTCCATTGTACTTTTACTAGTAGGAGATCAGAAATTTTCCTGTTCCAACTTGTCTGGAACTCAGCATAAGTACAACTTTAATGATCTGCTTGCATGACTGTAGACTTCACAATACAGATAATAAGAATACAGTTAATTCTGAATGTGAGCTGACCACATGTGAGTGGTGGTATGAGAATATTTACTGTCTTATCTACAGCATTGTAAAATTTTCATCGATTTTCAGAACCTATTTAACCTATTTAACATGTTTGGCAGCTGTCTTGCTTTGCCATGTAAGAAGTGGTGGAAAATCACTAGCAGTGCACATTCTCTAGACGCTCATCTCATCATTCATGATGCATCAGACCATTACACTAATTAGATGTGTAATTATGGGATTCTAAAAGAGCACTTTGACAGATCATTAAGAGTTATAATCATATCATCTTGTAAGCATTACTGGAAATAGGATATAAAAAGATTCAGTAAATCCACCTGATCTTAAGCAGTGCACTCCTTCGTTGTGCTCTCTCTCCTTTTTTTGTTCGTGGCCACATTCCAAAGTGTTTCACCTAATCAAACAAAGTTGAGCGGACAGTCCAAGCACTAGTAAAAACTTAATTTGATACATCCTGGACCTGTGAGTGAAACTCTAATAATGAGACAGATGGTACGGGGAGATTTGCTCCAGGTGCAGACATGTGTCTGCAGACAGCTGAGGCAAATTTCAAAATGACATTAACTGCTTGAATTGTTCTCCACTTCAGCCAGCTGGCATGAACCTCCTGTGGTCACACTGATTACAAGGTGGGATGATATGACAGTGGTGATGCAATCTAGAGAGGATGTATTACGTCACTGTGCCTCAAAATAACGATGAAAGCAAAATGGTCACAGGAGTCAGAGCAAAACAGTTCTTGATAAAGTTGTGGGACTGTCGGGCTGCTCTGTATGGATTATTGAATTAATTTGTTCTACTTTAATTCGAACTGGCTGTGGCAGCTAACACATTTCATCTCACATGCTTTTCACCTTCTTACATATTGACTACACTAATATTCCAATATTATTCTGAATATGACAGTATTCTGTATTTGATAGCAGTCATGTAAACATCATATTCCGTTTCCATATTCTGAATTACCACCTCAGTTTGCGACACAAGCCCTCTTGCCTGTTTACCGTCAGCCCTGTGCATGAAAACACTGGGGATGTGTTGTACACAAATCATTTCGCCAACAGCTTGCAAGGTTGTGGGGTAGAGATGCATGCCCAAAAGAAAAGCCCACATTTCTCATCAGAGGGAGAAAAAACAAGCTAATTTTCAAACACTATGAAAGGCTTGGATATCAGCGGGTTTTTGGATGTGCGCGATGCGGCTCTGTTCACACGGTCAAACAAGTCTGCCACCTATGGAAAACTGATGCAAAGAAATGACATAAGTGGCTCAACTCTTATATTTTGACATGATACATAGCCTACCCAATCACTCACACATCACACATGGTCACACGCCGATTGCATAGCCGTAAGGAGTGTTTTCTGGTGCAGTATCTCACCCAAGGATACTTCAGACTGGAAGAGCTGGGGATTGAACCCTCAATCATCAAATTAGGGGACAAGCTGCTCTATGTCTTGAGCCATAGTCACCCATGACGAATGCTAGTAACACGCAGCATGAACTACATGCATGTTTTCCAGTCTGTGTGACTGAACAGTGCAAGAGGCAGTTATCCAGCTGAGGACACCGCTCAATGTGGACTAGTCTATCTTTTAATAGTGTATTGATCCCTTAACATTTTGACACTTTGCATGGGCTTTGAAGATTCTAATCCTCGCCTTGAATGTGAAAGATGTCAAGCTGTCAGGTTTTATCAAGCAGATTCATTCACAATCACGCCTTCGCCTTAACAATATAAAGGCGGCTATATAGTAGAGGGTCTGGGGCACTGTCACACTGAATTACAAGGTTTTATTTCTCACTGTTAGCCTTGTGAGACATATATTACTCTCTGTAGGGGTGTGATCTATTTTGTTAGACTCTATTGGGTTTTCTATCTTCATGCCTTCCTTGCATCACCACCTCACATCTGTAACTGGGAAACTAAGGTGCGAGGCAGAGATGCAAGTGAGGGGATAAAAAAGGCAACAAGACATGCAAGATACTGGCTCTCTAAAAATAGCAGAGAATTGTTTGAGCTTTCTAAGGAAAGGGCAGAACAAAAGTCAGGAAATATGAACACATTTAAAAAGTCTCAGACGGCCCTTGCGCTCTCCCTCATGTCCTACCGAATAGAAGTTGTATTTTTTTTTACTCCCCCAGGGGATCTGGCTTTATATTCATAACATATGGTTTCTGGAGTGATTGATGCGATGATGTTCAAACGGTTCAAGTTAATGTGTCTAGCAGGGATTTCCTGTTAATCCTACATTTGATCTCATAAAAGGAAGATTTACCTTGACAATTCAATGTGTGTTTTGCACTTTTTAAGTCTCACTTGTTTTCTACGGAAATCATTTTTCTCTCAGCATTGGTCAGTCGGTGCATTCAGAAATTTTACATGCTTCAGCTAAACCTTTTATAAATAATACTGAACATCTGGAAACTGTATTATCGAGTATTTGAATAATTAACATCACCACCTTCTCTCCTGGTTGTCCAGGCACTCCTGGTAATCCAGGCCTACCCCTCTCGCCCTGAAAGAACAGACTTGTGTTACAAATGCGCTCACAGTGGTCACAAATTAGTGCAACAGCATGATAATTAAACCAGTTGTGCTTTTTGACCTTCCTACCGAAACACCAGGCCTCCCTTGCTCGCCTTTGTACCCGTCTGACCCACGTGGACCCTGAAAGAAACGAAGGCAACCAGCTTTAAATCTTCAATTCTTGATGCAGAGTTTAACGTTTAGGCAAATGAGTTAAGATTTTCTTTACCTCTGCTCCTGGTGGACCTGGCGGCCCTGGACTTCCTCTAATACCAGGGACACCCTTAAAATGGGAAAAAGACAATAGATGCACACATTCAGTTAAACATTTTGAACCCCCTCAACTGTGTGCATGTTCTCAAAGAGGTTTAGGCTGCGGGGTGAGTGTTTGATCATGCTGTAGAACATGTGGTTCACTTTTGGATGGTTTTCATCACACAAAATCACCACTGTGTTGCCAGCAGTGGTATAATCAGAGATGTTTTTTATTTACCCTTCGGAAAAAGAAGTAAATAAGTATATTTACCACCGAAGCAGGCCGACCACATAGAATGAACAAACTGTCATGACTTAGCGGGCACATTAACTCAATTGGTTTTGGTATTTCTCAGATGCTGTTGGATGTTGCTGTGACAGTGTTGCTGGCGGATATGATCTGTATGTTTGTATATTGAACTATGTAGTACTCACAGGCTTACCATCAGCACCACCAGCTCCAGGCTGACCAGGTTTGCCAGTGTTTCCTTGATCTCCCTAAAGAAGGTGGAATGAGGTTATTTAATGTGTAACTAAAACAAATTGTTTGCACATCTATTGTGCAACCTTGAAGCAGCATAAATGAATCCATTTAATAACATCTCTGGTAACAGTATGCTTTTTCTGGCTTAGAGTGTTGATTTAATTTACCTATAAACCATGCTGAATGTAGTGTAAGATGCTCTTGAACACTATAGTATGTGGGGGTATAAGGAACATCTGCCTGCAATGGTCCCAGCATTTTGGATCTATTAGTAAATGTAGTAAAAGCATCGCTGGGACATTATAAACACAAACATGCCTGAACCCATGTAGGTTTTATTAACAAAGAGCTTTGTTGTTAAGGTAATATCTCTCTGTGGTCCCTGTGTAAAGGCTTTTATGACCGGGGCTGCTATTATTTGGTTGATACCCTGTGATCAATAAAGAGCAACATGTAGGTTTTATTTCCTACTTTGGTAATTTTCCACTCTAACCAGTGTTTATCTTCTGCAGTGGTCTGGTTTCCTTCATGCAAACAGCCCATTACAACAAGATCTTACAAGGCTAACCATAACTTCCTCACAACAGCAAGCCACAATTTGTCTAACTGGAGAAAATAGGTCATTAGTTGCATCCACAATTTGTAGTTTTCAGCAGGTAACTGTATATTTAACAGATGATTAAGTGCTAACACCTACACAGCAGTGTGTCTGGCACAAAGGAAATCTGTGTGTACAGGCTGTAATGACTGTACTTGGATTTGCCCTATTGATAATGTGCAACCTCTTGTGTTCATCCCATAATTATACAACACAAAGAGCAGCATTTAGACATCACTTGGGAATTCAGCACACATTCCCTGAAGGCTAAGCTGTGAAGAAGAGTGCATTTGTACTCTGTCTCCACACAGGAGCCACTTAATCTCTTTGTCACTCTTGAGTTAACGCATAAACCAACCTTGTTAAAGATTAATTATTTTTCTGTCATTTAATCTCAACAGAATACCACTGTTGAAAGTAAATATTTAGCCAACTGTCTGAACGCTGTGGAGCTGGACGAAGTAGAGTTTTGTGCCAAACCAGGCACAGGCTCTACACTCTGACATCTCACAGCAGTGTGGGCATTTTAGCATTCACCTCTACAGGAAACCCATAGCCACAATAAATGCTGGCATTTGACATTTCTGTAAACCATAGATATGTTACATTTGTACATTATTATGTAGCGGATATGTTGAAACTTAACGCAATGCTGTGGATAATGTGTGGTTATGTTTAGGCTCAAAAACCAGGTGGTTAGGAAGAGATCATGTTTTGAATTGAAATACCCAGTTTTGGTGGCATGATCACAGCTGAAATGCCACTGATGTCTTGCAAAAAACAAACAGTTTTGTTAGTTGTATTGGCCTGCAGATTGGTAGCCATCTGGCACAGGTGTCACACCATACACCATCCCCTCTGCTTTCCGATAACGACGTCAGCTCATATACATTCAATCAGAGCAACCTTACTTTAGAAACGATGTAATATGTATGAAACGTGTAAGTGTGACACATCTGTGGTTTGCAGAAGCATACAATGCCAACATTTGCTTCCAGCGACTTGCCAACTACAGGCTAGTTTTGCTTGTAGTCTAGTTTTTAGTGTGGCAGTAAGGGCTGTATACACAACAACAAAATGACGCAAGACAAAGAATGAAAGGTAACATAAAGAGGTAACTTTTTTAAAAAAAAATAACTGACCTTTATTCCTGGAAGTCCGGGAGGTCCGGGAGGACAGACACAAGGTTCTTGAGTTGGTTCAGGGTAATCAGGACTGTTGGAGCACTGCAATGAACAAAATTAGGCTCTAATAGATAGTATACAGGACCAGACATTGAGTGCATTTACAGAATCATATGTAAAAGAGCTGCAAGGATTGGTCAGTTAATTTAGTAGATAGAAAGTTATCAGCAACTATTTTAATAAGCAGTCTTTCTGAGCCATGTTTGCTAGGAAAAATGCTACAATTGTCTTGTTCCTGCTTCTTAAATGTGAAAAATAGCTGGCTTATCTTATCCTCTCCCTAGACTTTTATAATTGTTAACTCAGTATCTTTAGGTTTTTGATTGCTGGTTGGACAAAACAAGCAGATGAAGCTGTACCTTTGGACATTTTTAACCATTTCTGACATTTAGCAATGAATGATTGTAAAGTCTCAAAATCCAAAACTGAAGCCTGAAAACAATTAAGGTTCTGTATGCGACATTCAGAGCATTCTGTTCTGTACGACATCTATAGCACATCTGTCCGTCCTGGAAGAGGGATCCCTCCTCAGTTGCTCTTCCTGAGGTTTCTACCGTTTTTTCCCCTGTTAAAGGGTTTTTTTTGGGGAGTTTTTCCTTATCCACTGCGAGGGTCCTAATGACAGAGGGATGTCGTATGCTGTAAAGCCCTGTGAGGCAAACTGTGATTTGTGATACATGTGATATAAATAAGATTGATTGATTGATTGATTCATATAGCAGCAAACCACTATTTGCTATACAAAGATATGATGGAGTAATAGCGTCCAGTCACACTCCCTCTGTAAGACAATTGTGGCATTCCCTTTAATTGCCCACGTCCATTTTTACTTTGTGTCACTCTTGTCTGTTGTTTTTATTTATTTTAATTGTGTTTTTAATGCTCTGTAAGTGTCCTTGAGTGTTGAGAAAGGTGCTTTTAAATAAAATGTATTATTATTATTATTATTATGTGTTGTAGGGCCTAATGTGAGCTTCTCTGTTTTGGTAGCTGGTCTGGCTGTGCCAGCATGTTAGTGCATGTGAGTCCCGTCTTTGTATCTCGGCGGCTAAGTAGCCCCACTCTGCACTGCACTCATATAGCAGTTACCACTGATATCAGGATGGCGCCATTCCAAAGGCGTAGCATCCACCCTTCAGTTTTTCACTCTGATTAACACTATTAGCTTTGTTAGCGCTCTTTCTGTTGAAGTGCTTTTTATGGAGTTAGCACCGTTAGCTGCTATCAAGCAGTTCAGCCACCTCCATGTTGTGTCCAGAATATGCCACCCCAGACTCTGAATCATAGATATGCTCTGAACGTGCATAGAGCTAAATTAATACATTCTTCTTCTTTTTTTTTTTAATATTAGCCATTGTCATCACAAAAGCTCACCTGACCTGCTGTGTGTCAAAATGAGTCTGTATTTTACTTGAATAAGCAGGTTTATCTGTTACCATGCACGCTGTAAACTGAATAGTCTTCTGTTTTTAAATCAAAGGGTGTGAGTTTGCCAGAAAGGCATCTGATCCTCCATCCAAAGGAAATTGATAACTGAACTTTTAGATCCCATTGCAAATAAGCCACTAAAAAGCACACAGACAGAGGAGATGAGCGTTGGTATACTTGGCAAGCGTTTGTAATTTTAGGCTACTCATCTTGTCTCTTTTGATATTTTATTCCCACTTCCTCACATTAAAAACAGTGATTTGGCACCAGCTTTGTGGTTATAGCATTTTCGAAGCCAACATAACAATGGGCCACTGCTTCGCAAACACAGTGAGAGCCAGCCGACTATAAAAAAATATACTGAGTGCAAAATGTTTGAAGCTCAGCCACGGGTCCGCCTCCAACAAATTATTTTATGCATAAACAGATGTGACTTGAAATTAATATGCTGACTTTACACTTTCACTACACAATGCTACAATAGACTGTGCTGATGAGATACAAAGTGAGAAAACCACTTTATTTCATGCAGTATGAGGTGTGGAGGTAACTGATGGTGAAATTGCGAGTCTCAGAGCACAAACAGATGTGGCAGGACAAGGTGACAAGTAGGTGAGAATAAGTTATCTTTGTTGCTTTTGGACTGAACAAACAAGTTTAGAGCCAAGCAGACTCTTGTACTTACAACACCGGGTATTTCACACGCAGTCTCTCGGTTGTTCTGCTCGGGGTCACAGTAAATGCGAAGTTTCTGGATTTCAAACTACACAAGATTTAAAAGAGGAAACTCTTGTTAAAAATACAACCTTAGCTTTTAGAGACAAACAAGGTAACAAAACAAACACATTGTAATATGGGGGTAATTTTGCAATGTTTAGTTTGGTTTTATCAGTGCTTTGCCACTAATGAATTGAAATTGCTATTGTACAACTGTTAAATTGCCCTCATTGGGCACTGAACAGCTCCATTTTGCCAGACCTCCCTCAGTGCTGGAAGCACTCTGCTGCAACGTTACACTATTCTTCCATTATTTGGTATTTTGTTGATGTTGGTGGTAAAATGGCTCCAGAGTGTCCCATAGACTGTTTCACGTCAGTTACCATGTGAGCAGAAAGATGATCCAGATGTATGATTTATGTTATTTCCAGCCTCATGAAAACATTAGAATGAGCCTGGAGCATAAATCAATGTAATACAACAAAGTTTACATTCTGTTAATGATAACGATGGTTCGTATGTGTGTACTTAAACATGATAAGAATCTGTGCTGTGGTCTGGTGGTTCATGCCAATTCAATGTTATTTGAAATTGCATTGTGGTAATTTTAGACTTCTAATTACAAAGAAATCTGTTTCCAATTACAAGTGTGTTTATTATACTCACATAAATGCATTCACTCTGTTAAATGGCTTAAAACTACATGATCCTTATAACAATGGATCAGTATGCACAATAACATTCACTGCAGAGCTGCGGCTCATGTTAATATCCACAGCTATAATGATGTGTCAACATACTGATTGGCATAAGATATGTTAAAGTCATGAATGAGTTATGATCTTTCCATCTTTCTTTTCAAACAAAGGATTTTATGCACAGACTCCTATTATTTCTTTGGTATGTAATCCTGTTAGTGAGGTCCAGTGTGTAGGATAAAGGGACATCTATTGGCAGAAGTGGATTATAATACTCATGGCTATGTTTTCATTTGAAAAAAACACAAGTTGTGTTTTTGTTAACTTAGAATTAGTCGTTTATAGCTCCTTTTTCACTGCCTATTAAAGGCAGAAATGTGGAATGGGGTGACAGAGTTGACTCACTTTAAGTCAGCAGCAGGGTAGTAATAACTCCAAATCGACATCTGTGTAAAAGGGAGAGCTGGCAGGATGGGACCACGGACGGGACTGGTGTGACGTTTTGATGAGGAAATTTAAAAAGCAGCCGATAGCAGTTAGCAGCTAACTCCAAGAAGAAGAACAGCAACCGAAAAATGCCAGCGAATTGGGGAGACAAGAAGGTCCAGGAGCTCCTTACCCTCCAGGCAGAGGACGAGATCAGCTGCCATATGACATGGACAGCAAAGGATTCTCACTTACTTACTCTTTACTTCCGGGATGCCAACATGCCGTCTAAAATCACACGACGGGGCAGCATTATGCCTGCATTGTTTGATTCTGAATGGAAGAGCAAAGGTGGCTTAATGAAGGGACTTTGCTTGATCTCTGTGTAAAAAGGGCTTCTACCCATGGACCGCGGAGCGCATCTGAACAAGAGGGGGCCATAATTTCAAGTCACGCGGAGGGGGTGGGGGGGCATATGCATTGAAACAGACAATATTACTGATGTATTAAATAATGTTGCGGAGCACTTTTTTTATTCCGACGCCACACAGTCACATCTACAGTACACGCATGAACACGAACACATGCTTGCTCAGATTAACCCCTCTGATCCCACTCTAACATTAACACACAACAGGCCAAGCCTATTTACACATAAAGGCACAGATGAGGCCACAGTGGAAGCTGGAGTAATTGATCATTTTGTTTTTTCTGTTTACTTGAAAAAACAAATCTGATATCGACTTCTGTCTCTTCATTTTCCCAGATGCAGCCAGCGCAGGTGCCCGCCGTTAGCTTGCGACGCTCATGCATGACGTATTGATAAACAATGCACTTGATAGGCACACTAATATCAAATCAAAATGCAGCAGTCAGTGGGAGTTTTTTTTTATCGGCAGCAGTTGGTGAGAGTGAGTGAAGGTGTGTGGTGACTTGGCTCGTAAAAACACAGATAGGCTACAACTTAGGCTTTTATTCATATAAAATAGTTTGTCAGTGTCTTCTCCCGTCCCGCAGGAGAAAACACATCATTTTATAGGCTATTAATAAAGAGATTTATGGGGTTGTTTGTTTCGTTTCCCTGGCCTGCGTGTCTTTTGACGCACTGGTCAAGAATAGCGCTCCTATTTCGTTGTTTTCTTTTAGTTTTTAATGACATAAAGGCTGTTTCATATTCTATTCTCCTCCTCTGTATTTATTTATTTTTCTACCTTTATATAATCACGCAGTGATTGAGGTTAAGGCAAGCCCGGCGCCAGGATGAAGTTACTGAGGGAGCGGTTAAAAATTACGAGGGGGCAAATCTTTTTTATGCAACATAGGTTCACACAGTGAGTTATAAAGAGTGCGCAGCCGTGTGTAATTGTCGCTCGTAATGAGAGCTCGTCGCCAGTGAAACACAATAAACTGCACGTCTTCTTTCATGTTTGTCTCATGACAGACAGACAGACAGACAGACAGACAGGTGGAGCAAGCAGCAAATTGGTATGAAAGCTGGTTCAGGGCATATTCGTCCATTTATGAATAAATATGGAGTGGAAACGCTCATGCATGTGCACAAAGTTCCTGTGTTGACATCCTGTCGCTAGGCTACATCTTCTTCTTCTTCTTCTTCTTCTTTTTCTTCTTCTTCTACTGTTTAATGGCGGTTGGCAAACAGCGAATTGGCCCATTACCGCCACCAACTGCTGGAGTGTGGATCAAAATGACTATTACCATTTGCGTTGGGTCCCGCCGGGTCCCAATGCAGCCCTCTATGTCAGAGTGCAAAAGTTACCTGGGCCATGGCCCCCCTGGCCCCCCCGGTTCCGCAGTCTATGCTTCTACCTACATACAGAGCAGCTTCTCTTCCATGAAGTCCGCCATTTTTTTCTACAGTAGCCCAGAATGGACAAACCAAACACTGGCTCTAGATAGGGCCATACCCGTTTTCGCATCGGCCAGAGTAGCATGTTTGGCACAAAGGGAGATGTCTCGGTTCTGCAACCTCACCGCTAGATGCCAGTAAAACCTACACACTAGACCTTTAAATCATATTGTTTTAAATACAGCTGTACTCAGGATTTGAGTTTTAAAAAATGCTTACATTATTTAATTTTGATACATTTAACATGTATTTTATTGTTTATCCTTGACCATCATTGTTGCTACAAATGCAACAATGACAGATCTGCCTAATTGCTCACAAATGTGCCTGTTTATTTTAAATGGTCTATTTGTGCCATTGTTTCACAATAAAAAGGGTGTTACATCTCATTAACAATTACAATAAAAGGAAGAAATGTGCAGAACACAGTATTCATCTTTCCCACGCTGTTATCATTATATTAAATATACTGTATCTGCATCAATGGTCAAGGAAGTGCATACTATATAGTCTTCTGCAGAGCAAATTACAACACAGCACAATTATGATTTATTACAAATGCAGCATTTTTGGCTCATAATGTGCCAATTGAGACAAATAAAACAGCGATTAATAAGACCTCGTGGAGAAATAGGCTCATTTTTGCCAAGGATTTATTATCCACAGAGTCAAGCATGTCTCTCAGGGGGCAGCAATAAACTGTGTGATGCTGTTTAAAACATATATCAGCACTGAGTCTGACTCATTAAACAAACTGGTCTCTCTTTCTATAAGTTGATGTACTGCCAGATTACTTTTCTGGGAACATGTATTTTCATGAAAATAAAGATGGTGATGTTAATAAACTTACTGGCACCGTTGTTTCCTTTCTGACATATTTTCCAACTTGTGTTTTTCCATTGATGAAAATACCAACAGGGGGCTCCAGGGCTTGGGTTTCAATTTCCAGGTCATCAACGTAAAGAGTAACGTCCTCCTCGGTGACCAACAGCCGCAGCTGGTGCCATTGCTCGTCAAACAGCTTTTTTTGTCAAAGGAAAAGAACAGGAAAAGGTCATTAATAAGGAGATGCATGCTGGCAGTGTGCTGATAAGGACATTAACAAAACAAACAATAAAACAATATGCCTCCCAAAGAGGGTGTGTACACTGGTATAAATATTGTTAAGAGCAGGAAGCAGGAGGAAATCAGTCACTGATTGGGGCGTTTGGATAGTTTAGACCTGGACAATAGAAAAGGAGTCATGGTTACAAAACATCTATCGAAAATATTGTGGCATTTAAAAGAGGACCTATAATGCTGTCCATATTTTCTGATAGATAATAACGTGGCCAGAGTTTCAAATAATGAGGTGAACTTTTGTAAAAGTAAGCCCAAAAATCTCAGGCATCAGACTGTTCTTAATATTCTGTTTCCAACATTTTTTTTCTACTTTTGTGACGAGCTTCAGCCCAAAAGTCTACAATAGTTACTCTGTTTAAAACATTTTCATGTTGCAAGTACACTGCTACATGAAGCTACATGGTAACGTTATGGGAACATGTAATATCGGTTGCCGATATTGTTAATTTCTCCCAGATTTTGGCTCATATTCCTGCTTAAACATATCCGATTGTGAAGTTTATTGTTCAGAAGCTTTTATTGGTGATTTTTCCCCATGAAAACTGCAGCTGTCCTCCATTACAGTCAATCCCCAACTGAAATGAAGATGCAGAGATGACCAGATATGAAAGACCAGGAAATGCTGAGCAATCAGAGCAGCATAGACTTTCTCGGGGGGGTAATTTATTTTTCCTAGGATGGTGAAGGCATGATCCACCCTACTCGGTCTTACCCTGATGTTCTTACCTTTACCCTAACCAATGTAAATTCTCTTTCCTAAACCTAACCAATCCAGTCAACAAAGGCCATAAGTACTAGCCAATCAGAGGGACAGTGGGGCGGACCATGCCTCTTAGCCATAAAGGCAGTTACTAAACCTGAGCGTCTCAGACAGAGGGTAAATACAGGTGTTCCAGCACAAACAGTGTGAGAGTAATAAAGTGTTTTTGAAAATCAAAGCATATAAACATGTTCATTTTAAGGTTCAGATCTGTATTCTGGGTTTCTACAAGAGCATGATAGGTCCCCTTTAAACACTTTTTTGGTAATATGCCCACTTTGATTCAGAAGATTTGTGTTGTATCATTTACCAGATGAATATCAGGGTTACAAAGCAACCAGTTTCCAGAGATAGACTCTATGTGCTTTTGCAGCTTTTGAATAGTGGAGTCTTTTGTCTGTCTAAAAGAGTTCATTTATATAGTAGTGCTACTTATTCAAGAAACAAAATCTGCTAATCAGAGAGATGTACAGTAGCGTCTACTTTTGTGAAGGTTGAATAGACTTCTGGAGCTCTACACGTTTTTACAAGCCATCTGGATGTGTGAATAGGAGGATTAGGATTGATGGTTGAAAGAAAATGCTGAAGCCTTGGAGTTGCATTGATCTAAAACAGTTTGTGCCCGAGTTGCATTATGTGAAATAATGAACAGAAGAATACCCTTTGATTACCTGTATCATACAGTATGAGTGTGCTTTCTCTTGGACAGAATATAAGGCTTATACTGAGAATTCACAGTCTAAATGCACCAATCGGACTCTAAGAGGTGTACTCCAGCAATTTAGCATTGCACTGTCATGAAGTTTGGGGACTCCGAGAGACAGATTAAAAGAAGAGCGGTCACAACTGAACATTAGAGGTTGACATATCCCAACTTTTAGTATCTAGTCAATATGCTGGGTGCTTCATTTCCCATATTGCAACTCACTGTGTCTCTTAATTTGACCCTCTCTGCCTGGAAAACACCCAAATTGTGAGTCACTTGGACTTGACAAAGCTCCCACACAGCCACAGAAGACATTATGCAACTGTGTAGTACTGTCTTAGAAAGCTAAAATGATCTTAATGTGTAAAATCCAACAAGTTTTCCAACGCATACCACTACGTAAGTCTACGAATACTACATTAGCGCACCAATGGGTGGACAACAGAGTAGCTTGTATGATCGTTAATGTAAAATGGGCGCAGTTGCACCAAAACTATGTGGTTAGGTTTAGATAAAAATAATGGTTTGGCTCAATGTAAGTCTGTTTGTTACTAAGGCAATGAAACGGATCTCACATAAAATGTCTACTTAGGTAAAATCAATTACATGACATGTTGACAAACTGTTAAAATAATTCTACGGTGACTTCTGATTTCACATTGGACACAAACACCTCATCTGGATGAAAGTCCGATGCTGGTTTGGCCCATTCACCAACCGTCCCTTCCATCTCTATCCATCCCACCCTAAGTGGATTTTCTTGTTCTTTATACTATGTCATCTAACTTCCTCCTTTGCTCCCCTAATAATTATTACAGCCACTAGTGGTCGCCACCTAACAATTTTTGGAGGATAGTCTCGTAAAATCAGTGGGGTGCCCTTGAAAGACTATTTCAAAGAAGTAATACAAAGAAATATTACTCAGAGTCACCGTACCCTCGCTGTCTGCTGTGAAAATTTAACCGTTTGAATTCCACTTGCTGCATTACTGGTTGTGGTAAACATGACGGTGCGCTCTTCTCCATTTAGAGTTACTGCCATCTGAGGTCTTCCGTCACGTGTCTGTATTCTCCACAAGTCCCACTCCTCTATTGCCACTGACCCTTTATACCTCAGTGTGGCCACAAAAACATATGATGGAGGCAGGCCATCAGGAAAAAGGCTCCTGGATGAACAAATATAAAAGTCAGTCAATTTGTGAATACCGGGGATGATGAAGAAAGAATATAAGCAAGGCTATTACCGCGTAGCTTCACTCAAGTCGACCCGAGATGTTACTTCATAGGCCCTACTCCCGTAATATGCACCTTGTGTCTTCTTTGTTTTTTTAGCCAGATTTAAATGTAACAGGATGTCAAAACCCTTTTCATCACGGGAGTCTATGGGAATTCTTGCTGGGCAAACCGTCTCTGCAACAGACAAACAGTAAAATAGAAAAACAGACAAACATAGGGACTAATAGAGAATAATAGTACAAGAGACAAAGGGACAAATGGAGAAGCCTGAGGTAAAGAGATACCACTGATAATAATAATAATATTTGATCTCATTGGATCTCATAATATTTGAGCAGAACACTTTTAGTCCCAGACACTGATCAGCAGTTGCTTACCTTCGCACAGTTTCTGTCGTATGACCTGTATGATCCTGGAAATACCTTTGTAGTCCTCAACAGAGAAGACGTAAGTTGTAAATGGCTTGTTTGCAATGTCATTCAACTCGGCAGCTTCAGTCTCCGGCCCAACACCGATTGCAAACAAAATTACTCCTTTTTTCCTCGCTGCCTCTGCTGCTTTCAAGACTTCATCTTGAGACTTCCCATCTGTGAGGACAACAGCAATTCTGGAAATGCCGAACGGGCCGCGCTCAGAGAGGCCAAACAGTTTCTCTGTAGCAAACTTAATGGCTGTCCCTGTTCTTGTGTTTCCACCCATGTACTCAATGGACTCCATTGCTTTGATGAGGTCTTTGGTGGAGGAGTGCTTCCCCAGAGGTATTTCTAAAACAGGGTCGTCGCTGTACTGGACGACGCCAACCTGGGTAAACTTCTGTCCAATGTTGAAGCTTGACGTTATGTTGACGAGCCATCGTTTTACTATTTCAAAATTGACATCTTCAACACTCCACGAGCCATCTAGAATAAAGACCAAATCACATGGTGCAGTCCTACAACCTGAAGCAGACAGAAAATAAACCATCAGTAGTGTAAAATAATGGTTTAAAACATCCTGTCTAGTCTGGTGGAATACATGTAATTAAATGCATTTACAGTACATGAAATCACCTTTGCCAGTTGTATGCATTTGACAGTTTTTAATGTATGAACAACAGGCATAACAAAGTGTGAGAAAATGAAGACAGAAGCACTCTTACTTCTTAAGTCTTCATCTTGAGCTGCACTAAACAAATGGAGAAGCATGAAGCACAGGCATCTTAAGACACAATGCATGGATGTCGCTTTGTAACCCATTATGCAGCAGTACCAAGTTCCAATTGTGCACCTACAGGGAAAGGGAAAAACATGCTTTGTATTGCAGGGGAAAAAAAGAAAAAGGACAATGCAAGCATTTGTGAAATGTGGTCCCTGTGTTATTCTTGCCTTGACAAAAGTTAATGTCTCAGACTATTGTTTTTCCATTATTGAGATGTTTGGCTGCCATTTATTCTGGCTCATCCCTTTTCCATAGACTTTAAACACAAAACGATCATGCTACCTGCAATTTCACACATAAGTAATTTTAAATGGTGTGTGACCCCTGGAGTTACGTGACTAGGACGCCGCCAGGCTCTGCAAAATATGAATGAATTCATACACCAAAACGTTTAAGAATTGTATACACATGCAAATTAGCAGCATTTGTGCTGTAATGATCATGTTGTCTCTCTGAAAGATGCACCGAAGTTCAGCCTAAGTGTTAGATGAGGGTGATCTGATTCAGCTTCGTGTGAATGTGTATGACTCAAGCATGACAACAGGTCCAACAGTCCATGCACACATTCCCACTGTGATCAATTGCTGATTTTTGTGACTCAACGGGGTCATATCTTGGTTAATGCATTTAGTATTGATCTGTATTAATCATACTGTACAAAGATTTAAATCTTTCCTCAACTTAGTTATGCATTTTGCAGACATCTTACTATCTCCAGGATTGGCATTAGTACAGAGGAGACACACATACAAGCTGACTTGGTGCAAACAATACTGTATGCATTGCACTTAGGTCAAAGCCCAAGTCAAGCACAGAACAGACAGTCCATTTGTGGTTTGAAAACTAAAGAAACTAAAAAAATGGCTGCCAAATGTCAAAATAAATGAGAAAAAATCTAAACAATTAATTTGAGACTGAACAAAATAGCCTGACTACTTACGGTTTGATCAACAGGTCTGACAAAAAGTATGTAAAAACTGCATTTTTTGATTATTTGGCCACTTGGGGGCAGTGCAACAACATTGACATATTATTACCTTATAAAGCTGATATGGCAAAATGTTGGCAAATATTAATGAAAATTTTACGTGTACACATGTCATACTTATGATATCAACGTCTTTAAAGTGACGTAATATATGAGATCACTTTGTCATCATGAGGTGGAGGATATGGCAGATGGCGAGTCACCTAGGCCAGATGGCTGCCAAGCTGCAGACTACTGTTTGAGACAAACAAACAACAAAACCCAATTGTGGGTGTTTGGTAGTGACCCCTTGGTGGGGTTAGTGCTATGAAACGTGGTTGTTTTTTACCATACAGTTTACCATACAATTTGGAAACGAGGTGCAACACCAACTAGAAAACAATGTTTTCATGCATTGGATGTGCCGAATGCACACATTGAGGCAGTACAGGAGGAGGCACACATTAATAATCCTTCAGGACTTTAACATGCCCATGTTTGTTTAACCCAAACAATGTGTAATGCAACTGCAGTTGGCTTGGATCAAATGAACCGCACTGGAACCGCACCGGAGTTCATTTGTTACTGGACTGTGACCACCTCTTCAAAAAGGTCTCGGTCTGGTTGTTCTGGAGCACACCTGAGTGATATGGCTGTGTTTACACCTGCCCAAACGAACTGCACTTACGGGGCAAAAGAAATCAACTGCGGATAGCTGTCACTGGGGCTATCAAGTGCAAATCCCATCAGACCATGCTTTCTTTTCCCCTAAGTTATAGCTCTACCTCCCACTGCCACCACAGACACTACTGTACTACCCACAGATCCCTTATTCAATTACTTGTACCACAAAGTTATACTCTAAGCTCTGCATCCAACCTCTATGTGGCGCACTCTATCTTTCCAATCATGCTTCACGGCCTTAACACACCTAAGCATTTTCCTTTCAAGCCTCATCTACCACATCCTCACATGGCACTGTCAGCTTTACTAAATAAACAACTCACTGAACCTCTGACCACAACTGCCCTTAAACCAGTGCTCACTGTTTCCTGTGGGATTATCAGCTGTTTCCTCAAATCTGCTGCCATTTGCCAATCTCTGCCCGCCCTTGGCCCAAATACAACACGCCTGCCCAGAAAAGCTTCACTCCTACACTTTTCCTCCCTCGTGGATTAAACCAATTCGAAAACCTTCCTTCCCATTAGCAGATGAAGTAGTTTTAACCACTTGCTGTCACGTGCTGCTGAAGCACTTACAGTAGTTATGTCAGCAGGTGTGTCATTCTTTAGATTATTCTGGCAAAATGTTTCAAAACATTGGCAAGTCTGAGCATATGGGAAACTGACATTTTGAGAAGATGTTAGTGAAACTATTTGTACATATGATTAATCTCTTTTGGTTTGCTTCAGCACCTTTCAACTCCCTGCAGCTCATCTATATTTTATTAATTTATCCACTGTGTCAGATCTGCCAAAACAGCCTCCCTTGTGCTGATGTTTTGCCCTGCAACCTTTTTAGGATTGACTTAATCCGTAATGATTTCGCTGCATGTGCCCAGCCCTAAGGGCTCTGTACTCTACACCTGCACAGCAACATCCTGGCTATATGGCTGAGTGCTGACTGTTGAAATGCTGCTTCTGCACTGCAGGGCAGGAACTCAAAACAAAGATGTCAAAACATAAAAGCTGGTGTCCCAATATAACCTCATGTCATGTGGTAATTAGATCAAATTGTGGTTTTCTGAAGATCCTGATCCATCTATCTAGCTTATCCTAACAACACATTTTCAATGCATCCCAAAATAACCCACATGAGGTTTTTCCTGATCTGGCGCCCCCACAAGTGGAACAAAAAGACACTCACAGTGCTTTTTTTTGTCTTGCATCTGAAATTGTTTTTGTTTTTTCAGTTGAATGTCTCTGGACCTTTGGATTTGCCATGAAAAATTACCATAAAAATTGCCATAACATTTGGTACATATATCAAGGTTGTATGAAGCCATGAATCCCAATGACTCTTGTGGTCCTCTGACTTTTTAATCTACTGCCACCATGAGGTCAAATTTCAATTTGTCTAATACTTTGATTTATGACCATATACCTTCAAGGCTAACAATATTACCGTCAGCCTCAGCTGTACATTGCATGATTTAATTCAAATGTTAGCATGCTAACATGCCAAACTAAGATGGTGAATATGGTGAACCTGCCAACATGAGCATGTAAGTATGCTCAAACTAGCATTTAACCTAAATTTAGCATGGCTCTAAACTCGTAGTCTTCACAAAACCACAACAGGACCATTTCAAGCCAACTGAACCATTAACCAAATCTATTCTTTTTTAGTCTTGAAAATGCCTTGCCACCAACTCAGAAATGGCAAATGAATACCACTCAGATTTTAGTGAAGCGATGTCAAGGCAAGTGCAACACACGACAAAATGCAGAGTTTGTCCTTTGAAGGATAACTTCGGTATTTTTTAACCTTGATCCTATTTCATGTTTTTGTGTCTAACTAACTGATGGAGACAACAGTTTTTGAACTTGGTCCAGTATTGAGAGAGAGGACTGCAGCTAGCAGCTGAGCAACACCCACAGTGTAACCAGGTGGGACAATTGTGCACTGTACATCCATTAAAAGTGGTTCTTTTTGCCACAGGCAGGCTTAGATCGTTATTATAAGTGTCTGAAGTGTGTCTTTACCTTTCACTAGATCTGGTCTGTTTGCTACTGTGTCTAAGTCTCGCTCAAAGAGAAGTCCTAAAATTTGACAAGACGTGACAACATGGACAATGCTGGAAACACGAGTGAAAATGAAATGTGTTTTATGTTGGAGTACAGAAGGTGAAGCTTATCTAAAAGATTTTAAACGTTGTCTTCCCAGCGTTGTCTTCCTGCAACAAGTCACGCCCTGTGAGATCTCAGAACGAGACTTCTCCTTAAGTGAGACTTAGATACACTAACAAACAGACTGGATTAAGCAGAAAGAAAAGAAACACTTTAAACACTTAAAATAACAACCTGAGCCTAACTGTGGCCAAAATAACCACTTTCAATGGACGTACAGTGACATTGCACAATTGCCCCATCTGGCAACAATGAGAGTGTTGTGCTGCAGCAGCCCTCTCTCTCAATACTGATCCAGTTTCAACAATCATTGTTCACATTAGCTACTTAGACACAAAGCCATGGGAAAATAGGATCCAAGTTGAAAAATGCAGAAATTACCCTTTAACATTGATTAATGACAAACACAAAACAATGGCATGTTACATACGTGCTATGTACTGTATTTTGCAAGGTCATTTCAGTAACAGGTGAACAATATCATCATTGCATGTGCTGCAAACAACATGTAGCATTACAGTGGAGTACAATGATGGTTACGTTCATGCTGATGGAATTAGAGATGAAATGGGATATTAAGTTCCAGGTGAAACAATGAAAAGAGTGTGTTTACACTGTGCATGTGAGCAGAGGGTAGAGTTCTTATCGTGTGTTGTTTCTGCGGCTGCTCTATCAAAATTATCTTCTACAGTAGTTTCCAACACGTGAAAGAAAGAAACTGCTGACATCCTAAAAGGAGGCAGTTGCAAATGAAGACCAGATATGCTGCATATAAGTAGCAGGACTTGTGGAAGGAATTTGATAGGAAGGAACTGACCAGAGCTATTTCTGATTGTGACACGTGAAGGTCAACGAAACAGTGGCTGGGACGTAACCCTTGGTCTCCCAAAGGCTTTTACTCCGGTGCAGCCAGAGAGGGGGGTCACACTCTTTAACATGACTGCATTTTTCCACCATGTAAACTCAGCACTGAAGCAACACAGTTGAAGGAGGCGTTTAGCTGCCATAGTTGTGCAAGCCGTTTTCTTCAGAATTTTTCCCCACTAGAGAGCTGGAGGAGTTAGCTGGAAAACCCCCTCATTGGCAGGGTCCAGTCAGGATGACTTTCCCCTCGACTGACTTTCCCCAAACGCAGTGTTTCTACACCTCTGCTCGAGCCACATGGAATTCATTTACACCATCAGACAGTGAAATTCCACCTGTGGACTGTGACCAAACACATGTAGTCATGATGAAGGGAAGCAACCTTCATCCAGGAATAAAATCGCAACATTACACGTGCTACGCTATAATGCTTGGAATGCATGCATAATGTAGCAGAATTAACAGGTGCGCTTGTGTCGCAGGTTAGTACCAGACTCCACTGATCTCTGATGTTACTGGGACAGCACAGACACTTCGTAGTTGCAGGTTTTGATGATGAATGGCAGAACTGTAACACAGGTATAAGTATGAAAAAACAAGTCTGAACACTTTCTAGCTGTGAATATGAATACCACATGGAATTAATTCCATGTGGTATTCAGCCAGTTGTTTGTTGCAATACTTTGCAAACCTAATAAGATTTATGTGAGACTTTGCACTTTATTTGCAGTGTAGTTCCAGCTGGAAATGCTGTTCAGGAAGCTGCTGAACAAATGATTTCTCCCTTTTCACCAGATAACATTTCACTTGTTCAGGGTGGGCGACACTAAGTCATCACACAGATTTTTAAAATGGTATCAGCCCACGGATTTCATGCTGAACAGGTTACACTCCCCTTCAAATTTGACATTTTTCATTTAGCAGAAACCATAATTAACTGTTGAGTTCACAAAGACAAAAATGAGTTTTCTATTTGTTTTGTGTCTGACGCTTATGTAATACAACTGCAGGCTTTAACTCCACTTGACCTGCTGAAGTTATACTTATCTGTTGTAAATTTGGCAAAAAGGAAGTTATCCCATTCCAGGAACAACAACTGCTGTTCATACTGAACGGTTGCCAATATCAGGGGAATTTATTTCTGCCAAATTCTTCAAGCAACAAGGGAAAGGCGAGCCCTATCAGTTATACTCTGTGGAAATGTGTTCACCTAATCCAAACAGTTAAATAATGTCTTGTAAAACGTCTGCTCATGGGAGTCTCATCGCACGTCCACTGTCAGATGCTGTCAGATATCTCCTACTCTACTCACAAAGATTATCGTTCTTAACATACATACAATTCTTACATTTATAAAAACTGCATGAGTACGGTACATGCAATGCCGTGGGTCACTATGCAGTGTTCTCGCATGGATTCGGGGAATATGGAAGAAAAATCCTTTTTACGAGAAGTGAAATGGCCAGGAAAAAAAGTCCTGAGCTGATTCCATTCATTCTTTGCATGACAGTAGCACAAACAAGGGACTGATATAACTGAGCTTAATGTCTTCAATATGCAACTGCTGCAGCACAGACACTAAAGTAAAAATTGAGACAGTGCAAAACTGTTGATAATCTAAACACATGGCATCATGAAAAAAGAAATTAAAACATTGAAATCAGTCCAGCAGGTTCACTTGAATAATCAAAAACTGACTGAGTCAATTCTAATTGTTCAGTCACCTACTAAATAAATAAACATGACATATTTGTGCATAAAAAGACACTCTAAACTTGTAAATGCAAAACAAAATTGTCTTAAATTCAGAAATACAATACATTGCCTCACAAAAAAGACACAAAGTAAGCAAAAAGTTACCAGTAAGCGTCCGAGCCTTTGTGTGAATTCCTGTTAGTCCTCTCATTTAGAGCCAGTGATCAATATTGTTCACAGCCCTGGGTTTACAGAAACCAGATTAAGGGAGAAGTGCACATGTTTCTCTGCTGAATGAAAGCCTGCCCTTTCCAGCAGCTCTCTCTGTCTCCTCTGTTTCTGTCCTTCTTCCTCTTCACTGCCGCCCCCTCCGCCCTCCACCCTCACTCCGGACTTTTACTGGCCTACAGCCACCCTCAATTACCATGGGTGGAAAGAGAAGCAGATAAGGAGAGCATGAAATAGTGAAGCAGACAGCCCATCTCTGACAGTCCAAAAGGAAAATAATAGCAATGAGCACAGCCTCCTTCCAAGTGTTGAGGGTTTGGATCGTGTGTGGGTTGCTAGGGGCATAACCAGAGAACATGGAGTTTTCTGGATGCAAGACAAGCACCAGATCAGCCAACGAGATTTAGTATACAGGAACACATATACTGTGCTGTTTACGGTACCCTCAGCAGGACCCCGAGCACTCAGCATTGCATTACACTACTCCTGTCTGAATTCCACTTCATCAACCCAAATGGACAGCAGATTATGTTCTTACAAGTCAGCAATGAACAAGGTGTGAAGAGCTACTGCAGCGCTTTTTTACTGCACAAGCAGCTGGAAGTCGTTAGAAATGCCGAACTGAACCTGCTATCTGTAGAGCAGGCAGATCTCAGTTTGATCCACTCTAACAAGTTTTATCATGTTTGTACTCAGTGGCAGCCTGCTCTGCATCAACTCACAGCAGCTCCAGTGTTTGCAGGCTCTCTTAAAGGCTCCCTGATAGTGCACTGAGCACAGTTTAAAATGAAGAGTTAGGAGTTAGGCTAACTACAGTGTAGGAGGAGCTTGAATGCAGCCACTTGCTTGTATGACAAATTTTATTCAGTAAAAGTTTTAATGAATGTTTTGTTCCTTATGTGAAATATTCAGTAAGCTTTTATCCAAGAGAGGAAATTACTCCAATTACATTCAATTATAAGAACTTAGGTACTTGTTTTTGAACTTATTTGTGCTTTGGACTTTTAATATTCTGCCACTTTATGCTTATACTCCGCTATACCGCAGAGGCAAGTGTGTATGTTGACAAGGGATGACAAATGAAACGGGGGTTTGGGGGTCTGTTGCCAGAAAATTTTGAGCATCAAACACTCAATTTCCTACCCTGGTAAGACCATCCTGATGACATGCACTTAACATTCTGTCTCTGTCAGTCTGTCCCTACTGCCGCCCTAAACACTTTCCAGGAATTAAAATCCAGTCTGGGCCAATCAAGGATCCTCACTGTTGTTGACACCGTACGCAGCCAATCAGGCACTGCGTTGTAGTTGATGACGTAAAATGCAGGCAGCAGCTTGCAGAACAGTAATGGTGGCTACAGCTCTCTAGTAGAGTAAATAAGCAATAAGTTAAGTTATTGAAGAAATAGAGTCAATAACAATTAAACAAAAACAAGAGTATGCACTCGGAAGATGTTTTTTGACATTCTTCCGACTGGATTTGGCAAAATCTTGATTTATCAACTGGCTACGTTGGTGATAAGGATCCTTGATGTTCTGTTATGGATTGGGTGAAGTAGTGTGTCTCCCCTCCGACAGAAGGGCCAAAACAGAATGCTGAGCTCACATTATTAGGATGATCCTACCAGGCTATTCATTTCCTGCATTCTGGTGAATTTTTAGGGACCAATTTCTGCATTTGCTGCATCAATTTATGGTGTAAATGTCTTAAATTTTGTAAAAATAAAAGCTACTGTCATGATTTTATTGTGTTTAGGAGGGACAAATGCCCATATTCTAAATACTGTGTCCCCTCCCCGTGAAATCTAACCCTATGTTTTAAGAGAGGTGTTGAACTTTTCACTCCACTACATGTATCTTGACAGCTAAATTGCTACTACTAATTACTTTACATTTTAACAGTGCATGGTCAGTCCACAAAAGCATGCATTGTTAAAGTAAATAAAATACTGACCATTTGAATGGAGCCATTCTCTATAAAAATAAACACTTTTACATTTAAAACTTTAAGTGGATTTTCTTGCTAATAACATCTATACCTCCGTTTTAAGTGTAGGACTTACAGAGTTTTTAAACTGGGTACTGCTACCTTCATTTAGAGAGAACTTTTTCTACTGCTGCTTATGTTGTTTCTCTCATGCACATAGTGAACAAAAATCAAACAGTTATGTGATGAATTATAGATGTAGATATAGATAATTATAGATAGATATCATCAGCTTTCATCTCATGCTGAGACTGATCAGCTGTGGTTTCCTGATGACGGCCTGGTTGACCCTGAGCCTCAGCACACTCTGGTGGCTCACACAGGCAAATACTGAGCTGGTGTTCGGAGCCTGGGAGTGGCCGACCTGCTGGTGAGAGTAGACTTTCCAAAGCTGACTAATCTTCTGTCTCTATTTACTGCTCTCTGGTTTGTAACCAACATGAAGGAAACCCCGTGGCAGAAAATCTCTCTTCTTATTTTCCTACAAGAAGCCACTTTACTTGTCCTCAGAGGCCCATTGATCAATATGACTGTGGTCATATCTGGAAATGTGACATTGGTTATATTTAGCAGTGAGCTGATCGAGATTACATAATAAATATGTTTGGCTGGAGAGCAGGAAACACTGTATTAATTGCCATAGTTTGAACTGCACCCAAGAAAACTGCAGCAAGTCTGATGTCATTAAAATAAGTTGCCGCAGTATGAAATAAAACAGTTTTGTAATCAAGGAATGTCAGTTTAAAACTAAGCTATATAGACACAGTTTAACGGCTCATTATATTAATTTGTGGAAACAGGTGAAATAATTTGTTCACATAAATAATGTCATCGCAATTTTATTAAAGCAATGAAAGTAGCAAAACAAGACAGTTACAAATGTCTTGTGGAATCAAATCCTGACAAGACCAACAAGCTAAATTTTTTTGTCATCGTCAATTAGGTGCAATTGGGGCCTCAAAAATACTTTTCTTTCTATTTTTTCAATCCCTCCAGGGTTTTGTGATCCAGTGGCGGCCTACAGCAGTGCTTCCCAGTGCTTTTTTCTTGTGATCTCTTGATACAAGGCAGTGCCTGCTTTAGATCACCTGTGACAGGGGGAAAACCATCCATTGATTGACAGGAAAGAAGCGAAGATTTGAAAAAAAGACTTTAATATGAGCTGAAATTTGTGTAACTGAATTTAGATTCTCTTATTTTCTACCCGGGTAATCATTATGCCACTCCTATTGCGACTCATTGGTGAGGTCCTGAATGTTAATGGTGAATAAAACATGCACTTCTCTGGCATACACATTATTAAAATTGATGTAAAATTTGCAAATATATAAAGTCAGGGCAAATCAGTACAAATGTATTGACCCCCGTTCATAGATATGTTGTTATAGGTGTCTATCGTTTCAAAGAGGCATTTTAGAGCTGGGCACCCTGTGAGACAACACAGCTAGAGTTCATCAGTGGCTTTGAACACCACCCTTGCCAAAAAACACTGAATAACTCTACCCCCTCTCATCCGTCTCCTAAGAGGCAGGAAATTAGGTTTTGATGCTCCTCTACCATCTTTATGTATCGCTGTGTCTTGTTTACATGTGTATACTTCCCCTGTGTTTATCTGGTTTTACTAACATTCACTGGCTCAATTTGAGCTGATTTTTGACCAGCTCTGTCATCACAGTGTGTGCAGATCGAAGGTGTTTGGCTTTCCCTGTGTTACCAGCGCTCTGATCCCCCCGCTCATCCATGCAGGAGTTCCGCCAGACTTTTGCTGGATAGTGAGCGGGGAGCTCTGGGTGTGTGGCTCCCTTCCATACCGCTAACACCTGGGGTTCCCCGCTCATCTGCTGCAAAAGCTAAAAACTACTCAGCTGCACACACTGCCTAACCTGCAATGATGTAAAGCTGGTTGAAAATTTTCAAAGTCTCTGTGTAACTACTCACAACACTATTTCCACGCTAATGTAGCTGTCGTGGATAAGTAAACTTTCCGGCTTTGGAGCTTCCAAGCAATGATGATGCTGAGGGACTGCAGGGTGTGCTTGCTAGCTAGCAACAGTCTCTTTGAATGGCTTTGGCGAGCAGAAAGCTGGCGGCCAATCATCGGGCCTTGACGTCTGGCAGCCTGCTTTCGTCATGAAGAAGTGGGCTGATGATGACTAAACTTTTTTTTGTACAAAATTGCCTTCAGGCAATCGTGAGGGGAAAATACAGATCAAAGACACTCTAAAATTAGTAAAAAGCCTCTTTTATATGTGGCTATTCATAACTGGGAGTCAATAACTGCTCCCATGATGTGGCCCCACAGTGTCGGACAAAAGGAATAAAGGCCTTTTAACAGATTCTTCTTGCACTGCCCTTAAAGTCTTTTCCCCACATGATCACAAGAGAACATTTTGGTACAAAACACAACCCAAGAATCTCTGACAATTGTTCTCAAAACAGTTTGAAGTCTACTATTATGCTAAATTAATCAAATGCTTAAAGCAAATATGCAGTTGGTTAGAACAAATGAGAAAATTGTACATCCATATAATGTGGAATCAAATGAACCAGAAAAAGTTTGTCATCCGCCCACAGAGCAGCATCTCATTCTGCCAGTATATTAAAACATGTGAATGTGGTAAACAGTTGTGTCAGGATATTAATGAAGTCTACAGTTGGGCCTAACAGCACCAGTGCTCTGCTTACTGTCACTTCTACACAATAACATATTTGGCTTATTACTTACATCAACTAACATTTACAGTGTCTGGCAGTTCCTCTGAAACTTTTTAAAGAACTGCCTGAGGACAACATAAAACCTCTCTCTAATAACCTCTGATTCTGTGCCATCACTTTGAAGCCCAACCGTCCTGGGTCGTTTTAATCAGCTCACATGCATTAAGCTGCATTTATCTTGATCACTTGTATGGTTTGCCACAGAGATAAATAGTGAGCATGTCTGAAGCAAGTGGTTGCGCCCAGAAAGAAAAATCAGAGGATAATCGTGGATTAGTAATAGTTTCCATGACAGAGGTGACCGTAGCATCCAGAGCAGCATGGCACATGATGTTGCAGTCGCAGAGGGGGTGGAGGATGATGATCTGCAGTCGATGGGCTTCTCAAGGGAAACACATGTGCGCCAGGAAAGACACTGAGAAGAGCCA